CAGGTCGTAGAATGCCTTTGCCCATTTTTTCGCATTGAAGCTTGAACTGCTGGGGTTTAATGGGCCACTTGCTTGGGGGAATAGAGTCCCTGGTGCAGCACTTGATCGCCTGGTGAGTTCCCGAGCCAGTTGTACGACTTCTTCATTGTTTTGATATTCGTCGTCTTCACTCATGGGAACTTCAGTGTTCTTCTCAGTGCAGACGTGTGTTGAGCACGTTGAACCGATGTCGTTGTGGTAGAATCCCTTGGGGGTACCAGCCCCAGAGCTGAACTGTGGGCTGGCTGCCATGTTGAACGATGTTTGAAGATTTTCTTCTAATTGGTGATACCTCTGGTGTATATGAATGATAATGAGGCTCAAGTTGAAGATTCAGGACCAAAGATGGCTTTGCCTGTGATTGAAGAACTGTTAAAGCTTGAAGAGCATGAAGATGTTTGAGAGAGGAACATTTCAGCAAAGAATTGGGTATTTATTTGATGAAATATGAGTCAAACACAAAGAAGATTAACTTATACAACCCCATAAGCCCCATGTTGGCCCGTCTGGGCATTCCCACAGTCTGTGGATCATTGAAGCGATTCGGACTTTGAAAGTCCGATGCTCCAGGTGAGAACCCCAGACTTGGCACGGACTTTCGGACCCTTCCATGCCAAGCTTTCTCGTAAATATACTTAAAGTGGTAAGTGGCATTCGCTCGTGTCTTTGTATCCATACCGTCCATCACCCAGAACCTGGGCAAACACAGTCCATTTTGAGTTTACTGCACCCCTGTGGCTTTGTATTGTTCTTTTTGATAGTGGGGTTTTACGTACTGGTTTTCTTCGTATTGTTCTGTACCCGACTGCGGGGGTAGATAAGACCGAATCTCCGCCATCGTCTGATCTTGGAACTATCAGACCAGATTCATCTCGGACTTTTCTGTCAATTGATCTTGAGGCTCTTCGACATGTCGTCCTCCGGGGTAACCGGATCGGAACAACTCAATCGTCTTTCTGTGAGCTCCCTTTCTCAACTGCCGAGCTGAACATGGCTCCGAGCCGTATCTAATATGACTCCAGTGCAAGAGATGCAAGGAACGCAAAGTCAGGTGCAATCGTGTTATGCCACAGTGTGGTCGCTGCAAGCCAAATGATCTAGAATGTGTGTATCCTGTCCGGGTCAAGAGGAGGTCTGCGCGGCCATTGATCGACCCAGCCCTGTGAGTAGTCTTGTTTCTGGCATTGAGTATTGATCATTGACTCTTTCAGCTCGGCGGGTGGCTCCAATGCTGCTCTGTCTACTATCCTTGATCGCCTACAACGGCTTGAGGCACAAACTGTGGCTGGGCCTCCATCCACCAACGGCCAATCGATACCAACACCCTCTGGCGATGGCTCAGAGGTGTCCTCCTCGCCGGTGGCTTTTAGCACTACTGGTCATGAGTCCAGTGCTTTAACGCCTCATAATCCTGACCGTGAGATGGATGCTATGACTGTTCTGAAGGATTCAGTCGACCAAGTTCAGGAGCTGAGGAAGAGGTCGTTTGGCTCGACAGCCATTACCAGTTCGATAGACATACCCACAGACTTGGCCAAGACTTGGGTTGCCAGTACGTCTTCTCCGATGCAATCATCGATGTTGGCTGACGTTGTTAGACTACTTTCAGCACATGCCTGCTTGTATGTTCCTAGGCTTATTGGACAGACGCATCATCGACTTGATTCCCGACATCATCAATCTACCACACATCCACGTTGATCCGGTCATTCTCGTTATATACTACAGCATAATGTATCACGGCTGTAGTCTAAAGGCGAGCAACGTTGCTTCGACCTCGAGTCTTGGGTACATGAACTCGAGCTACTTGGGATGTTTGCGTGCAGTACCCAGCTGGGAGCGAGAAGCATCAGGGACCATGACAGATCTAATCGCCGCTCTTTTTACGGTACGTCTCTATCACCACTTATATCATGTGATCTAACCATATTTTCTAGAGTCGCGTGGCTGCTGAGTTCTTCGATTATGATCTTGCTTGGAAGATGTTTAAACATGCGTGCGAATATTGCCAGACTCTCAACCTTCACAAACTAGACTCAGATGAAAACAACACGTTTTTCAGTGAGGCCAAATGCGATAATGAGAGAAGGGGATTCTGGGAAGTCATCCAGATTGATCTCTTCTACCGACTCATCCTCAATACCCCTCCAGTTATCACCAACGACATATGGAAAGTCAATCTACCATGGCTGGACCCTGATTCGGACCCTCTACCGCAAGGCATGCAGACGATCGCATTCTTGGCCAGTTCAAGGGTCAGTCTCGTAATCGCTCGATTCTTCGCTATGCTCGATGACCCGGAAAACACCACCAAGCCTGAGATTGTAGCTAAGACGGAAGACCTTTGTCGCGAGATGCAACAGATCTTTACTGAGTGGCAGCTGGTAAGACACTGTACCGCCGCGGCAAGCGCTCGTACTGACTCATAACAGATTGAATGGCTAGAAGGTGCTCAAGATAACGAACAAGACATCTGGGTGGTAGCGGATGTTATCTTGACAGGCTACACTTCCATCATCTACATGTTTCGTAAGATGGCTCTCCTCAACTCAACTTCTCCAAGACCTCCAACAACAGATTTGGACATTCCAGACTCTCCCATAGTGGAAGACGCAGCTCGCCGTCTAATCGCAGCTCTCAATCGGTTACTGGTGATATACCCTTACGGAGTAACAATGACAGCGTTGTTCGGTGCATACAGATGCTTCGTCGCGTTTGCCTATCTGGCTAATACGATACTGCGAGCTGAAGATCCTCGCTCTTATATGGCAGATATTAAAGCACTTGAACGGCTGAGCGATCAATCGACCTTACTGTGTCGAGGGAATAGGGATGTTATGCCTTTGGTGAAGGCTATGCAGAGCATTAATGAGGAGATACGGAAGAAATTGGAGAATCAGACTCCGAGGGGATGAATACTGCCATGCTAGGACGAAATTATACCATGGTAAATATTCAAGAGCGGAGGAAAGGTCTATGGATTAATGATAATAATAACGATATTAATACTAATCCCATTCCATCATGGCAAAAACATGGCCAACCTTTCTTTCACAAAAGCCCAAGAATGGGCCGACCATATATCAGATAACTAGCCAAGTAACCGCTCTATTCAACAAAGTCGGGAAACTCTCCCCTTTCAGCAAGACTCTTCGCACTCTGATAAGCAGTGGATTCTATATCCTCCCACTTCGCAGTCGGCCCATTGACATAGAGACTTGCGTTCGCCCGGTGGTTCACGCATGGTTTATCCTGAATGTGAACCCATTCTTTCTTGACCTGTTGGATCTGGTTGCAATTGGCTGTTTTCTGCTGGCGGCGAGAGTGGCAGGGCTCTTTGATGGCTAGGGTCCAGCAGTTGCACTTCCAGAGATAGATGTTCCAGTTGCACATTTTGAATAAGGGGGTCAGGGATTGATGAGATGGCTGGTTTTGGAATGCTGAAGCGAGGATGGCTCTCTGGTGAGTTGAGATGGTTAGTTTGGGGATAATGAAACAAGTGGTTTCTATATCATGAGATGATTGGTCCCGGGATGTTGAAATGAATAGTCTCAAGATGTGAAGGGAAGAAGGGGAGGAACAGAGATGAGGAAATGGGTGGCCTTACCAAGATTAGACACGTTAGTGAAAGAGACGTTAGGTCTCACCCTAAACTCTTCCTTAAGGAACCTAAGATGATCTTCAGATACTTCGAACCACTAAGTGGCCTCGAGATGTAGAGACGAGTGGTTTCGGTTTCCTGAAGCGAGGATAGGGATGAGATGTTGGAGTGTCTTGTGAGTTGAGTTGAGATGGGATTTATTCATGTAAGTTTCAATTTACTATTAAATGATAACAACGGAAGGCTAGTCCAGCAACCAGATCAACACATATTTATAACCCCAAGAAGAGCCTCAACTTTATGCTCTCTTCCTTGATCTCCTTGCTGATCGTTACTAAATGTTGTGATTTGCCAGTTGGCACATGATGGGCATGAAAGTTTGCCAGAGTCATTTTCAAGCTGCACTCCAGTATTCTAACCCATCGTACCATGCTAAAGTTCCGAGTGTGACGGTTCGTGTGTTGCTCTAGCATACTAATCGTGTCGTGTAATTCAATATCATAGTCCTAGACTCTGACTTTATCGTGAGCCGGAGGCTCAGTATAGGTATCAGCAACTACGTCAGCCAGAGAAGAATAGCTGTGGCAACCTTCCGTACAGTTTGTTAAGCCCTAGGGCGATCTTCCTACAGTTCTTACAGCATATCTTCAGGATGGTTGCCTTCCTTAATTCAAACTGGTAATAGTTCAGATATTCCAGTCCTCTGACGGATGAACTCCCAGGTGAAGTTATCGTAATAGCCAGACACCATAATTGAAATCCAATGTGCATCAATTTCAGTGATACATCGGTGAACTCGTTATAGAAGAACTGTGTATACATAAATGCTTGTTGGTTGGATCTGTTTGCAAAGTGCAGCTCCTAAGACAACTGGGTGCTTGATCGTGAATTGAAAACACAGGAGACGCAGAACTACAGAATGAAGACCAAAAATCAAATCTTTCCCTTACACGCTTTTGTGGCAGCATGTTTGTAGTCAGACATATTCATGAGCTTGCATTGTGCCATTTGTGGCCTGCAACATTCAGCTCCCAGACGGTTGCCTTTTTTCGAGCTGCCTACCCTAAACTTGCTCCCAATCTTGAATAATAATTCGCGTCCAAACACCGTCACGATACTGCTTATGAATAACAACGAATGTAGCAATATAATTATTTTCATCTTCAAACGTCGTCTAGATTCAGTTTCATATTAAACCGAGTTCTAATGTTAGATCAAGTCCCCGCTCAAAAGCCAAGCGGACGAGTAACAGTCTCCCTATTTCGTTTTTCAGGGGCCGCCCCTTGGAGCTCTAACCCCCTGCAGCCACTGAGTGGAGAGCAGCCCACCTTGAACCGTGCCTCGGATCGGTGGGAGGTCCCTTTTTCTCAACACCACTAGCTCCATCTTACGCACCCCACGAAGGCCACGACTGCATCAATTTCTCTACACGTGCGACTTGCTTTTATCTCTTCTCGCGCTCGCTTTTTCGCATCAATTCAATTCTGTCGCTTTGTTGCAATTACTCTTCTTCTACGTATTCCGCCATGCGCTAAGCAGTTCGTTGCATTGACCCTGAACAGCCGCCATCATGGGTCCTCTAGCTTTCTTGAGCAGTCTTTACGACCATGATACTCTCGACACACGATTCACTACTGCCTCTTCTACCCCCTACCAGAACGTTATCGAAGCGCGATTAGATCCGAGCATAAAAAAGGACTCTGCAGCGAAGGAGCGGAGCAGAGCACAACCGTCGAAATGGAAGACGCCCGAGTTCTACCTTTACTATGTCGTCTTTGCTGTGGCCATTCCCTACATGTTCTGGATCACATACGATGTCTCTCGAGGTATATCTCTACCGCTACTTTTTGTGCGACCCCAAGCTAACACAGACCAGAAACTGATCCTCGATACCCCAAATTTAAGCGATGGCTATCCCCGGGCTGGATTCCTGGACGACAGATCGACGTTTCCGATGCGCAATATGGTGTGTTCCGCGAGAATATGCCTTACATGGGCTCTCTTCTTCTTTTCCACCCGCTGCTGAGGAAGCTTTGGAACAAGTACAAGCCATTGCCTAAGCGAAGCCAGGGAGGACGCAACCGATTAGACCAGCGAGCATCATTCGATTTCTTATTCGCATTCATATTCTTGTTCGCTCTACACGGACTTTCTGCGTTCAAGATCTTCTTCATCCTCTGGACCAATTTCCAGCTTGCGACCAAGCTTCCTCGACGATATGTTCCGGCTGCTACTTGGATCTTCAACATTGCGATCCTGTTCGCCAACGAATTGACTGAAGGATGGCGGTTCCGAGTTCTATTTAGCTTCATTTCACCCCCACAAATGGGTCTGTATAAGAACAAAATGAGACTCCTCAACTCGGATTTGATGAACTTGGGAGCTCGCATGGATAGCACATTCCAAGGAATTTTAGCACGCTGGGAGGTTCTCTTCAACATCACCATCCTACGTCTTATCAGCTTCAACTTGGACTACTACTGGAGTATTGATCGTGGCAACTCTAATGCGCTCGAGGTAAGTCGTCATATGCTTAGGAGTTGGGAATTATTTCTGATCATGCTCTGATGCTTATAGAAGAAGCAATTGGACCCTGCAAGCCTCTCCGAGAGAGATCGTGTCAGCATCTCTGCAGAGCCTCGAGACTTCACCTTCCGTAACTATGTGGCATATGCCATCTATGCGCCGCTCTACTTGACAGGACCTATCCTCACATTCAATGACTACATCTCACAGTCGAAGTACCGAGCTGCCAGCATCGAAACAAGCCGAACAATCCGATATGGCATCCGCTTCCTCTTGGTTTTGCTGTCAATGGAGGTCATTCTGCATTATGACTGGGTTGGTGCGATCAGCAAGGGAAAGCCTGATTGGAGTTCGTATACGGCAGCACAATTGTCAATGCTGTCCTTCATGAACCTCCATATCATCTGGCTGAAGCTTCTGATCCCTTGGCGTATGTTCCGACTTTGGTCATTGGTTGATGGGATTGATCCGCCTGAAAACATGGTTCGTTGTGTGAGCAACAACTACAGCACACAGCTCTTCTGGAGAGCATGGCACCGTTCGTATAACCGCTGGTTGATCAGGTACATCTACATTCCCTTAGGCGGCTCATCGTTCCGTAACTGGCGGTCCACTGTGCGGTCCATTGTGACATTCCTGCTTGTATTCACGTTCGTGGCACTTTGGCACGACATTCAGCTCCGCCTACTGATCTGGGGCTGGCTGATTGTTCTGTTCATGATACCTGAGTGGACTGCGGCGGCAATGTTCCCCAAGAGCAAGTGGGAGGATCGACCAACAGCATACCGTATGCTCTGCTGTGTAGGAAGCGTGGGTAACGTGCTCATGATGATTTCAGCCAACTTGGTTGGCTTTGCTGTTGGGCTGGACGGTTTGCAGAGCATCATCCAGAGCATTTTGCATGACTGGTCAGGTATGTGGCACATCGAGACTCTGTGGAAGCACATCACTAACACAAACACAAACAGGGCTTATTTTCCTTGTTACAGCGTGCTCTTGTTTGTTCGTTGGCATCCAGGTCATGTTTGAGATTCGTGAGTCCGAGAAGCGACGTGGTATTTTGGTTAAGTGCTAGACGGAGTTTTTTCAGAAGTAACGGCGTGACGGATGCATGGGCGTTGTACATATACTGTGATACTATTACTAGCATAGGGCTCAAAGATGGTGAATCATTTAGATGGCTATGAGCAAGAAAACATAAGGCTCGCTCAAAATACTGTTTAGATCGGACCTGCTCAGGCACAATTTGCTTCGTGTCTCGCATATCTTGTGAGGGTTTTATTAAAGTCATTAACTATTACTAATTAACACCGCTTTGTGATATCGCATGTTCTGGTAAAGGGTATCCTTGAAGGTCGCTCTGTTTAATTAGAAAATGCCCACACATAACGCCTTACATGGCTCTCCAACACTCCATGTTCCCAGCAATTATGATAGACAAGCTCAATACACCCTGTCCTGTGCTTCGGGATGGTTTCCAATAGCGTACTTGTTACCAGAAGAAGCCAGCTCAATATCGTTGGTGTCGGCAGGCTGCTGTGCAAACTTGCCATCCATACCAAGCTTCGTCTCCGTCAACCATCGTCGAACCCAGATGATGCCCCAGACAATGCAAAAGATGATAACAATTCCGACCGCTATGCCCAGAATGTATCCTGCAACAATGCCTCGTCCACCCACATCTTGATAATCCAGGAAGTTGTATACGTAGAACCCCTGCGTCGCGTGGGTGAGGTACGCAAGGGCGAGGTACAGCGCAAGAATGAAGATCAACCACGCGATGTGCACCCATTGAGGGGGGTTCGTTCGGGGGATGATAATTTCGAAAAGTGCAAACAGGCTGTTCAAGCCATGCTGGCTGATGTTGCTCCAGGCGTTGAACTCCTCAGGGAACCAAGGCCCTTTATACAGAACGACCCAATAGACGATCGTCACGAGGAACGGGTACGTGACGATGGTCGAGTAGAACAGCGCATGAAGCGCCTGCAGCGGTCGCGGGAGACCATCGAGCAATGACCGGCCTCGAAGTGCGTACGTGGCGGTATGAACCGCTGCGACAGCAAAGTAGAAAGCGATGCCCCAGTACGTCAAGATGGTGAAATAGCTGAAGGACCTGCCAACATCCCTACAACCGCCGAGTTCTTCGTGCGTGCATTGCCACCCGATGATGAAGAATCGCGTAACGAAAGCGTATATGCTGATGACAGCACGGAAGGCGAAGAGAAGCCACGGGCTCAAGAGCCAGGATGTTTCGAAGCGATTGGAAGGATCCCAGAGATCGTGGCCGAACCTAAAGGGGTTCTTGGGGGCCATTTTTTTATTATTATTTCGGTGTAAGGAGAAACGAATGACGATTATGTTGTGTTGGGTGTAGGACCCTGCGTGCGTTCAGCTGTAGCTGAGGTGATGATATTTTTCCCAGCCGAAAGGGACGTGGCTTATGATGAGATGGAGGTTTAGCCTGATTGGGCAGTCATCGCCATGAAAAGCTTCACTTGGGAAATTTATATAAAATTACACTTTCAGAATCTTGCAGATGTCGCCAATCTTAAATCTTAACTTTGTTATTACTCCGTGTATTCACTCTCCGAGATATTCGGAGGTTGTGGTATCTGGTGCTATGTTCGTCTGCTGATGGAAGCCATAGTAGATGGCGCAGCTCTAGTTAAGCATGTGGCTTGGCTCATAAGACAACTCCAGACTCCACAAAGAGTAAGTGACTTGGGAAGGATTAGTGAAGATGAGAAGAATGTGCCTAAAATAGCTCCACGTTGTGTTCTTGTGATTTGTCCCAGAAAGTCTCCTGTGGCGTTTTGATATTGAGATGGGGACAGATATCACATCTTTCTCAGCAGTTTTAAGACTCCAAGCATACTCCATGATTCAGTCACGGATGCATACATCCAGCTGTCGCAGAGATTCAGCCTGTAATCTCGTGTATCATTTATCAGATATGAGATGAAGTTGTTTACCGTAAACGGAAGCTCCCGTCAGATTCACAGCTTGACAACGGACAAAGCCTTTAGCGCTTGCCACTGAACTCTATTAAACTGCCGATAACAGGAAATTCATGATTTCGAGTGGAGGTTAATTGCTCTTGTATATCTGATACGAGGCCATGAGGGTCAAGCCCCTGAACAAGCATAACCCAAGAAATTCTTCTTCGAGTTATTACCGTGGGAGAGACTCAACAGGAATGTCGGTCAGCGATTGAGTTTTTTGAGTTTGATATTGAGTGGGCAGCAATTCCCGAAGGTCTCCAGCTGAATGGAATTGCTTCTTCCCGGACGCTGGTCCAGTTGATGAGCCGTGCATTCTGCAGGACCCTTGCCTTTGCAGCCTTGGTAGGGTTGTGTCTTTATGGCTGAGACCTATGATCCTTCAGCATTCCTCAGGTCTACGTCGATAGCTGCAATCCTCCCCCGATGAGATATCCAATGGTGATATCAAAGATCGAATCGCGAGACCTTTGAGGCGCTGTATCCACCAAATCATTCAACTTTTGCAGTTCCCCCGTCTAGAGTCGAGTTATTGGCTGAGGGGCCCGACCAGCGTAACACGCAACATGGGGCCTTAGATGCGTGCCCCTGAACTAGAATCGGCCAGGAAAGGTAAATCGTGTTGCAGACTCCGTTAATATCGTGACTTTAACGAGGCAATTTCAATGTCTGCAATTGTCAGGCGCTTTACATTGATAGACCAGAAAATTAGCCTTTTGATCGGCTTGGCGGGATGGCGACATTGTCGATAGGGCGAAGCGCGGTAAGCTACGAATATCGAGGTATGCAGATGGGTCTCATTGTCTTGAGGTTGTCCAACTGATTGGCCTGTCTTTGTTTTGTTCTGTCTGTGGCAGCGTGGCTATTATAAGCCGCCCGTTGAAGGGCCACGCCAGCTTCTGCAAGCCGAAAAGGCTTGGTAAGAAGGGAAAGTGGGAGGTCTTGAGGTCTAGAACTATTGATCGGCGCTGATTTGGGCTTGCTGCGATTTCCGTGTTGATCAGGTTTGCCCAACGCACCGACGTTGTCCTGTAGGGCTGCAAATTGAAAACAGAGCCTTGCTGCCAATAACTCCGTGTATTTCCCTGATATCTCCCTCTGCGCCTTTAATAATACATGAGTAAGGGAACTCATTTCTTGTCGTGATTGCAAATACCATGTTTACTTATCATGTGGCAACAGCATTAGCCACTACGAGCGTTAGCCAGGTACACGTTGAGTCTATTCCGCGGATTCCATCAAGACTTTCAGCCGCCCACTTCGGGCTTGAACTAGCCACAGAAGATAATGTTCATCGTGTTCAACCTCTTTGCCTTGAGTGATTGGGTCATCGACAATTAATAGATTCAGTGCAATTAATATTCCCATCGGCGAATCTTCCAATTGCAAGATCTCATATCAAAAATATCCAGTCAATCCACTCAGAGCCCAACTGCAGCCCAGTCCAGTAGAGCCCCTACTGTTGTAGTGGGCCAATCCCGGGGCCTTTTTTCAGGGGCGTCAAGGCCTGGCCAGGAACTGGCAGGGGGCGGCGGGATGGTACCTGGACTTTAGCGGCTGCTAGTGGTTGCGCTGTTCGCCAAGAGTACCCGACCCCGTTGTTGATGGCTGGCCGCTGCTGGCGTGGTTCAGAGTCAGGGGGGGCCCAGAGACACGGGAACAGCACAAGACAAGACAAGCAAGACAAGACAGGATTTGTTACTGGTCACAGGCTAATGATGGAGAAGGAGGCGAAGCCCAGACAGAATGGTAACCTACCTAGGTAAGGAAGGTAGCTTCAGTGAATCACAGATGAGAAGGACATATCGCATCGACCGATTCATGAGATGGTCTTCGTTTTATCCCCTTCATCTCGACTTCACATAATTAATTACCTTTCAACAACGTCTATCCTCGCTGTAGCGGACCCTTCAGCGCTTCTTTTTGTGGACTCTACAGTACGCCTACCCCGGATTGTCAACCTGAACCCCCTTCGGCAGCCAACAGCAACAATTACGCTTGGCTCTGGGCGGCCTTTTGTAGCTTTAGGTCCCAGTCCCTGATCTGATCAGCTGATGATCTCTCCCCTTTGAAGACCTGCGCTACAGATAGAGCTGCGACCTCTTTCCAGCTCCCACTCTCTCCCGCAGATCTCTACTTAGCTTTGCGATTCAACGTCCAACCTTGACCATCTCACTCGACTAATAACCGTTGTATCGCTATTGTTACACCATTCGACTCGACTTCAATACCGTGACTCATATTTTTTTTGGTGCCATGGCTGTCTCTGTCGCCTGAATTTTGGCTCTTGGCGGCGCTTCCACGATGCGATAGATTCAGCCCCCTCCTTTGTCTCCAACTACTTCCACTCGTTCCTCGATATCTCACGCTGTACCACATCGTCTTACGCGCATATTCGCCCAACCTCATTCTCGATTCGAGTCGTACCGACGTTTCCAACGCCTTCTCCTTGGCTACGCGCCTTTGTGCTTCCCAAACATCCCTTTCAGGAGGCTTGCCGTTTCTCACCTGTAGCCACTCACATCCGCCGCCTCCATGATGACCTCGGCCATTAGGCCTTCGTCACAAGTGTCTATTTCGGGCAGTGGCACCGCCACCATGGCCGCCAGCCAGCTTCAACCGTTAACGTATGACGGGGGTGAGCTGCGAATCGTCCTTGTGCCAACATCCGACGATGGGAACGACGCTTCAGAACATGACATTGGAGGATCAGAGGTCGACCGCCGATTTTCGTCCGACAGTTATAGATCATATAGAGCGCCGAACCAATCCATTCCGACACACCCTATCCCGTCTTTACAGGATGCCTTTGCCGAATCGCTGGACGAAGTCACATCCGAGACCGAAGGACCCGGTAAACCTAAATTGAGAGAACTTGATGCACAAGGTCGTCGGGGAAGATTATTAGAACAGGCTGCTGAGGACGAACCATTCGACACATTATGGCGTTATCGACCTGGACAGCAACAGCATGAGATGTACAAACTCATCTCACAAATTACATTTGGTGTATACCTCTTGCTCAATAGTTTGGCTGCCGATAATGGTCAAGTCGTGACCATTCTTCAAGGTCATATTGATGAGGTTGATGAGTTTCTCGAGGTGATGCTTGAAGACTTTGCGCAGGCTCACAAGGATCTCACAGAGCGCATCGCTCTTCTTCAGCTTCCCATGGCCAACAGACAAGCCTTCGAAAACATGCTTGAAGATCGGACCTTCAGAGCAAAGATTCTTGCCGGGAATGAGAGGATCGACCATATCCTGGCTCGAACGAATGCTGCCATGAAGCAATGGGACGACGATATTGATGCTGGACTTCGTTCTAGTGAAGCCTTTATGGAATGGCTCAATGAACACAAGAATATTAAATGGCCAGAGTCCGAGCCTGATCTGGACAGTATTTACCGGGCTATGAAGGGCAACGCTGATGGCTGGCTCAACACTTTCGACGACTTGAACAATCAGGCACAGGATCTGAACGGATTGGTTATAAAACTCATGACTATCGTGGCTGAAATGGAGAAGACGGCTGGCGAGGTTAGCCGCAAGACCTGGGTAAGTTGGTTTCAGCCTTGTTTCTTTCCTGTGCTAACGTGTTGAAAGGCAACCATCCCTCCGTTCACTATCCCGGTCGACGAGCCAAAGTCTGAAGAGCCTGCTCAAGTCGCCTCTCCGTCGACAAGATCCAATACGAAATCGCTTACACCCGTGGCCAGCATTCGTAGTGGTGAGAGTCATCGTGCATCCCACATGACGCAAGACGATCCCGAAGTGAAAACTCTCAGTGATTTCCCTCTTCCTGGAGGCACACCCCTACTACCACCTACGACGTACCAACGCGCGAGCTTTAAACCTTCCCCGAACCTAAGCGTCTCGACTACTTCACCTAGGCCCAATATCAGCGCAAGCGTGTCACCCTCATCTTCTGGACCCAACCTTAGTACTACATCCCCTTCATCTGGCGCGTCTACTCCCAGGGCGTCTGTTGCAGGTGATGCAAAACAGCCAGAGAGGGAGGAACCTGATAACAGTGATGCAAATAGCGGTTTCGACGATGGGCCTTTATATATCCTTCAACCCAAGGTCTACACCCCAAAATCCGCCGCAGCTCCTGTGGCTCCAGGCCCTGAGACGCCTCGTTTCGAAGAAATGAGTCAAAGGCGAACTATAACACCTTCTACTATACATATCCCTGCTCCCGAAGAAGTTGAGGAACAGACTCACAGACGAACGCTCACCCAGACTGTTCAGGATGCAATGGGACTGCAGAAGCGGACCTCATTGCGGCAACGAGTCTCATTGAAGAAGAATCCACCTGAGTCGATTCACATCCCTCCACGCACCTACGCCGAGCCGCCACCCAGCCGCCCATCTCCCTCTAATACAGCACCCCGTACGGCCAGATCTCATGCGCCCGATTACACCCTTGGCTCCGATCTCGAAGTACAGCAGCCTCATCGACTTCCCCGGGCAATCTCACATGCAGACTTCTCATCAACTCAATCCCATGTCCCTGTGATACCTTCGCCTCACTCCGAGCATCACCAGTTCTATCATAATACGATTCCTGTCCGTGCATCGCCTCATTCTCCTCTACAGCAGAGACCTCATACTGCCGGCCCAGCAGATGTCCAATATCGCCCCTCAGGATATTTCCAAGGTCATCAACGTAACCAGCCTTCTCGAATGGGCGGTATGAGTACTCTCAGTAGTGTTACAACAGCGACCTACGATGATGCCGCTACTGTTACTTCACGAGCTACTACCCAGGCCGGGGGAAAGCGAGTTAAGAAGAAGAAGAGTGCATTTGGATGGCTTAAGAAGGCATTCAGTCTTGATGAGGACGAAAAGGCGGATTACGAAGCACGCAAGGCCATGCAGTACCAGAACCAATACAATAATCAGTATTACGAGGGACACAGTCCCAAGTTCTTGGATGGAAAGAGAATTCGGTAGCGTGGGCAGATGAGGGATTCTGGATATTTGAGCTTTTGACGCGGTTAAATACCCGATCAAAAGTGTCTCCTATTTCACGCAAAACTTCATTTGCGAATTGATACCCGGCGACGACGCTCGCCTGATTTTGCGCATAAGCGTTCCTCACTCATTTACTTTGTCACTTGGATGCTCTCAGCATTACAGCATCTGCACATCTTTTGGAAATATCATTGATGGCATTACATTCCTACGAAAACTTTCTTTCTACTTGGCATGCCAGATTCTTCGGCCAGCGATGAAGGCGTTTCTGGTTTGGGCACTACGGTTAGGAAGATGCTTAATCTATCTTGCATCTTCATGTTTTTAGGACAGATTTAGGGCCATTTGATGGAAGGGACGAAGTTGGATGTTGCTGAAGGATCTATAAAAGAGTTAAAGCCTGAAATGCCACGATGATGGCATTCAGTATATTACAAATTTACGTATCAATGACCATACAGATCAGTCTCTGAGAATGAATGCTCGGAAATGTCCCATTCGCCATGGACATGTGTGATTCAGATGTGAAGACACCCGATGTATTTACTCTGCTATGGCAGGAATTGAACTCATATACTCATATGCTTGTAATCTATGCTTCCAAATGCAGACCAAAGCAATGTCCTTCAGCATATCTCTATGGCCAGCTATGTAATCTGTTATTCCCCAAACCCATAACTCTTGACGCGACTAAAGAAGAATGGCTTGTCGTTCTTCAAGCCAAACTCACCCCAGTCATCCGTCAACTTATTGTAGCTGTAGAAGCCACGCCAGATAAGTTTGTTGTTACGGGACCCCTTGCCAGCACTTCGCATGGAGAGGTCCATGCGATACATGTACTTGGATCCTACGCCCTCGGTCTCAATAAAGACATCACCTTCTGGATCACGGTCTCGATCATGCTTGCCAATCGCTGGACCGGGTCGGTCTGTATCAGAGCCTTCATCGCGGTCAGCAGCGGTGGACAGGCGCCAGCGACCGCGAAGAGCGAGAGCCATGACGGCGGAGGGGAGGTGGGGCTGTGCAACACCGCGGTGGACGTTGAGCTCCTCGCGAGTCATGTGGTGCACGACATCTGCGGGTTCGGCAGTGCTGAGAAGGCTGATGAGTGTACCATCACGGAAGAAACGGAGGTATCGATAGTATGTAACGATATGAATGGGACTGCCCCACGTAGGCTGATTAGTTGAGGCTTGTCCAGTGCGAACATAGTTGACTGTGGAGATATAGCAGCCATTGAAACGAATTCGTGGTCGTGAGCGGAAAAGCTGCTTCCAGGTTGGGTATACAGAGGGTACAAGAGACTCTGTGAAAGCAATGTTGGCGTCGCGTTTCCGCTGTGCAAGCTCAGAGGGACTGATTACGAAACCATCCTGAATCTCAGGGCCTTCTTGTTCCTCCTCTGGCAGTTCGTCCCACTCGACGCCCTTTTCGAAACGGTAGATCTGTGAGCTGAAACCAACTTCTGGACCAAGAGCTACACGGCGCCAGATGCGCTGCTCTGAAGCAACAAGGTACGCGAGACGCTTGCACACTCGGGATAAGCGGGCGAAGTCTCCGATATCTGTGATTGCAACGTCGCGGAGGATGTGAATGAGGATCTCATCGGGAAGATCGGCCATAGGACAGGGTGGCTCGGGCATGCCCTCGATAGGAGGAGGGGCAGGCTCGATTTTCAACCCGGAGAAGCTGGCGATGAGTTCACCTATAGGTAGAGGCTTTGCTTCTACAACCTCTTCTGACTTGGGCGGTTGAGGAGCCTCTGGTGCTGATGCTTTAGTAGCTGTAGGTGAGACAGGTCGCGGGGCTGTCTTTTGGGGGAAATGCTTCTCACGATATCTCCGATCAACACCATTGTCAAGCTGTAGGTGCGTTAATAGGGTTTCGAATAAGCAGAATTGAAATCACATACTCTGTAAGCTTTGCGGTAGAGCTTGAGACTATCGCCCATATTACCCTGGTCCTCCTTATGCATCGCCTCCTCAAAATGATCCAGGGCAGAAACGAGCTTCTTTCCCTTCCGATCATGATGAACATCCTGCGGTGCTTGAGCTACAGGCTCATCTTGATCGAAAGCACGGCTTTGAACATAATCATCGTCACCGTCATCCGCTGGCGCAGGTACATGCTTGTGTGGCAACGATGAGATAGGACCATGATGAGGTCGTCTTGAGGGTCCAGCCGGAGCCTCAGCAGTTTCTGGGTGTTCACTCCTCGTTCTTAGATCTGAGATCCATTTCTGTCGGAAAGACTCGAGTTCCGAGTCGAGCTCGTTTGTGTTTGATGTCATGATGCTCTCTTGTCCGTTATGTCCGAAGTTTATCTTAGAAGCAGTGGGTTATTCATTACAATAAATTCATTATCACGTTGAGGCTATAAAGAGCAAACGTTCGCCGATTGAGTCAAGTGAGGATGAGGGAGATTGATTAGGGACAGGGGTTGGATTTGAAGGTGGTCGATGATAAGTCGTGATGGATGATGCAAAGAGCACGAATAGAATGCTGTGGTTCGCCGGCCGAGTCATAGTGGGCGATCGATTACGGTGGATGGATTAGGTTAGTGTGGTCAAGAGACGGTGAATGGGCATTACAAATCCAAACGTTGATCAACACAGAACGATATTGGGTGCGGTTTGAAAGTGAATTTAGTAAAATTACCAGGCCATTCACTCATTCGAATCATCCCAAGCATCTATGCAGAGCATATCGGACCCGTTGTGGTGGCAGTGGCATTGAACATCATGCAACTAGATTTCTTGATGCTTATTTACATACCCTATAACTGATGGTGTTACTGTTTGCGCCCACGTCTTTGCTCTTGGATAGAATTAGTATCTGAATTGGGCTTTAGTAGAATTAAGATATTGTCATATATTCTTATTCCTGAACGTTGACTGAACAACACAATGTGGTGGAGGTGAGTAGAGTTCTCTGCGTACCTATCACCCCGTAGTGGTATAATGTTAAAATTATCTTCAACTTCAAAGCCTGTCTACCAAGACGTCTCGAAACCACTTTTGACCGAATACCAACTATTTATTGGTGTCATTATCTTTGCTTAATGGACTTGATCGTGAATCTCTAAACGATCGCTTGGTAATCTCAAGTCTTCAGCGTCATCGAGCGTCATGCCAACGTCGTCTCACAGACGGTATAAGATCTCGAAGTGGGCGCGCGAAAGAGAAAGCTCACGACTGAAAGAAACATAAAAACACCTTTATTTAAAACCTTACTATAAAGCCTATCAGGATGGACCGTGCCTTCTATACTGCCTCTCTCGACAATGGTGTGAGCATCGCTTATACTGATACCAAGCCTGATGGGAATGAGAAAGGCGTTGTGGTCTTGATTCATGGTTTCCCTCAGACTTCGTATCAGTTTCGAAAAGTCATCGGTCCTATCTCCTCAGCTGGGTAAGCAATATGGGTCGAAAGAATTCCTAGATACTCACAGTTCTTAGATATCGGGTGATCACCCCAGATTACCGTGGAGCTGGATACTCGCACAGAACTCAGACAGGCTTCACCAAGACCGCCATGGCGTCTGATATCTTGCAGCTTCTTGACCATCTCTCTATCAAAGATTCAGTCCACATTGCCGGGCATGATATTGGCGGTATGATAGCATATACCTTTGCCTCACGATACTCCGACCGTACAGCATCTGTCATCTGGGGGGAATGTCCCCTCCCAGGAACTCAAGCCCACGAGGACACATGGAAAATACACGGTGTTCAGCATTTCCACTTCTGGTTCCACCAAGTTCTCGATCTCCCCGAAGCTCTCGTCTCAGGCAGGGAGGAGATCTACCTCGGCCACTTCTACGACAAATACTCGTACAACTCATCAGCAATTACCCAAGAGGACTTGAACTACTATGTCAAAATGTTTAGTCGCCCCGGTGCTCTCCGCTGTGGTTTTAATATCTATAGAGAGTTTGGGACAGATTCAGAAGAAAATCGCGAGTGGGTTGCCAAGAATGGAAAATGTAAAGTGAGGGCGTTGGGGCTTAATGGCGGGATGAATCAGTTCAGTGAGATGGCCGAGCAGATGATGGGGGAAGTTCATGAAAAGGGCACTTTTAGTGTTGCTTCGGTGCCTGAGAGTGGACACTGGATTGCAGAGGAGAATCCTGAAGGGTTTGTGAAGGCAGTGCTCGAGTTTGTTGGAAAGGAGTAGATAATGCTTGGGATGGTGATTGATAATGAGAGATTGATAATCTTATCGAAACGATCAGCAGCCAGGCGTACTTAACGTTACACTCTCACAAGATCTTCTGCTTGTCTTTAGAAGATACCATTATAACAGATTATGGTTTCAAACAAATAGCATCATCATATTTCTCGTATCAAGGGGCCTGAGATTCGATTTATTTATTTATTATTTTGCTCTTCACAACGTCTTGGTCCCTGCGCCACTCACAGAGCTCGCTGAAGCTCTAACAACCCTTTTGTCCAAGAGATATGCATGGAACCAATCAAAACTCTCCGTGACATCATGCTACGGAAATCTGCGGCTCTCAGAAAGCCTAGGGAAGCAGGTGACAGCTAAAATGACCGCATACTCACGGTACGTACCTCACAGGGCGCAATCCCTTTTTTGTGTACCAATCCCCGATGCTCCGACCCCGGGCTTAGCAAAACATTGGGGGGCGATATCGCCATAATTTTTTGTTTATTTGCTTGGTAAGAAGTGAATGCGATAAGTAAAATAAAGAGCAAACTATACAGAACATCTATGAAATACTGAGAGGGCATCGGTAATTGACTTCTCCTCTTTCTGGGTCGCACTACTAAAGCGCAATTTGATCGAGTGCGATACTAGCCGACCGACCGACAGACCGAATCGTTTTCTCCTACTCCGGCCGGCCTCGGGAGTTTCATCCAGAGAGTCTGTCTTTTTCTTTTTTATTCCACAGCAAAGACACCTTATCAATCAGCTTTCGGCATTCAAATTCCAGAACGGAACTCTAAAAAAAAAATAAACCTCAGCGTCGCAAACATAACGTATCATCGATTGTTTTGTTCAGGGACAACAGGGTGCTTTTTTCTCTACCGTTAGATCGCCACTCCTGCGAAACCTCTCCACCAAAAACCGCTACCATCGAGTCATCGTCATCGACACCTCAGCTTGCCTTTCCTTATCTCGACAACCAACACATACCTTCTTCTCCTTCTTTCTCCCTGAGATTCCAGTACTCTTCTTTTTCATCAGACTTTGATCCGGTTCCCTCACCAATTGCTCGACCATGAACTGAGGAGAATAGTATATCCTCGAATTACCCCAAAAATGGCCACTGCCGGCACAAATCGCCCCAGTGGCTATGACCACCACAATCACCACCAGAACCCCCTCCAAGCCGATGACGAGTTTTCGCTACGCCATATGATGGATGCCGAGCCAACGGGCCCCAACCACGGGAGGGATATCCTCAGTGGAAGTAAATCAATACCGGCGGCGGGAGCTGGGAGTAGCAATAATGGAGTTGTTGATATCACAGCGACGCAAAAGATGGTGTCGGCCATGTCGGGCAGTTTATTAACGTCATTGCTTGGTATGTCTCTCTTTTCATCCTGTATCAGGTTTATGCTAATTACTGTTGCACAGTTACACCCCTCGATGTCGTCCGCGTGCGACTCCAGTCGCAAAAGGCTCCTCGATCGACCGTCGATTTCTCTAAACTCGCAATTACTACCACCTCGCTCTCCCCCGCCCAAACCGCCGAACTCGGTATCACATCCTGCTGTCGCGAAGTCTTTTTCTCCGGTGGCAACGCCGAATTCTGTCTCGCTGCGCCTAGGATAGACGGCATCGTCGCGCCTCCAGCACCCGCCGAATGTGCCGTCGAAGAGGTACAACGCCGAACCTTCAGCTCTACTTTTGACGGTCTGCGAAAGATTGCCCGCAACGAGGGCGTTACAACTCTCTGGCGAGGATTATCGCCCACACTCGTCATGGCAGTTCCTTCGAATATCATCTACTTTACTGGTTACGATTATTTGCGATTTAACCCGAAGAGTCCGTTTTCGCACTTTTCCGATACATCGGCACCTTTGACTGCTGGATCAGCTGCGCGTGTCCTAGCAGCCACCGCCGTGAGCCCGATCGAACTTGTCAAGACACGAATGCAGGCCGCTCATGGAGCATCGACAACAAATCACCTTGTGGAAGCCTTCGAGAGTGTGAAGGAGATGGTGGGATCGCATGGATATACTGCATTATGGAGAGGCTTGACATTGACCCTTTGGCGAGATGTCCCTTTCTCAGGTCTCTACTGGTGGGGATACGAGTCGATACGATCAAGACTGACAGATTATCGTGAGCAACGCCATGGCCACTCATTACCATTCGAGGAGGATCTGTCTGAAGCAAGGAGGAGGTCGCAGGTGCAGGAGAACCATACCGAAACCTTCGTGGATGCCTTCACAGCTGGTGCTCTGTCAGGGGCGTTCGCCTCGTTCGTCACAACACCTTTCGACGTCGGAAAGACACGAACACAAATCTACCAAGACAGCTCCAAAAAGGCCAAGCAAAGCAGTGCCAGCGCAGTAGCAGCCCCCGAGGAGCGCAGTATGGTACGCCTCCTCTGGCACATCTTCAAGACCGAAGGAGCCTCAGGACTATGGAAGGGATGGATCCCACGAACCCTCAAGGTTGCTCCAGCATGCGCTATCATGATCAGCAGCTACGAGGTAGGCAAGCGAGCGTTCCGCGGAGTTAACGAGCGACGTCTTCACAGCTCCAACGATCGTTCGTGATGAAAAATGAACAAAGATGAATAGGATGGAAAAAGGAAATACCCCCAAAACAACGGAGAGGAAATAGATGAATTTGGCGTTATAGGGGAGGAGGTGAAACAAGAACTCTTCTCCTTGGAATTGGCAATTGCTGTTGCGATTGGTTTTTTCGTATTCTTGACGATAGACGGAGCTCTGTACCAAATATGAGCGATAGATAATAATTGTAAAATATATGTAAGATCAGAGATGCTAGCATTATGGGTTGTCCTCGTTTAGGCGTGACTATTAAACACATAGTACAGCAAATGTACTTTGAGTGACTAACGATAACATGAAACTTCTAGACGTAGAATATAAAGAATCTGTCAGTACCGATGACATGTAATTCATTTCTTGCGAGTCTGTAGCTCTGGGCATCTGAACCCAAAGTTGGGCAATATTCAGTTATCGAGGCCGCGATTCACAACGAAAAGTGGGACTTTGAAGACTTCAATCTTCAACATTTGGGTCTCAATATCATCAGAGTTGGACAAATACCTACTTAAGAATAATAGTGATATAATTTAACTATTCAAGGTGAGTTTACAAACATATTCCAATTTCCTGGTTTCAATCTCCGGGCTGTTACACTTGACGATACCAAGAACTCATCAAATTCTTCACATCCCATCCTCAATCTCACTAACACTCATCATAGCCATCATGTACTCACTCAACTGCGCCGACGGCCTCTCCCTCGGCAGAGACGTATACGTCCTCGACATACACAGGACATCTGTTGGTCTCGCTTCTATTTCATCAGACCAGTTCCTCTCTGTTCTCGACCCAGCTCGTCTCTCAGCAGGTCCTCAGCGTCGTCTGCCCACCCAGCATGGCAACTTGACCACATTGCGGGTGTTTGATAGCAATGCTTCGATTGTGTGTACCGCTGGTGAGAATGGAACTGTTGGTGTGTGGGATTTGAGACAGGGTGCGAATGTTGTGCAGTTTCAAGGCAAGTTGTAGATTCGAATGAAGTCATGAGTAGGAGAGTTGCTGATTGTGAGTGTAGCTAGCCAAGCTCCTATTCTATCTATGGCTTGTAGTCTTGATACACAGACTATCGCCGTAGGAACAGAACTCCAAAACCACACAGCATCAATCCATCTCTGGTAGACTCCCTCGTTGCCACTCAAAGCTCCCCTCTAACAATCCCAGGGACGTCCGCTCAACACCATCATCCAAAGCACACTACCAAGAAGTCCACAGCGACGACGTAACAGACCTATCCTTCAACCCCTCCAACCCAGCTCTTCTCCTCTCCGGCTCAACAGACGGTCTCGTCAACGTTTACGACACCCGCGTTGCAGATGAAGACGATCTCACAGTGCAGACCTGCAACGTAGACGCTTCTATTCACCGCGCTGCATGGCTCTCAGCGACAGAGGTTGCTGCTCTCTCCCATGATGAGCGCTGTGCACTTTATGATGTTAGCGAGGAGCGCGCAAATGGTGATGCTGTACAGGACTTTGGCGATATGAGATCTGTTCTGGGATGTCAGTACGTCGCTGATATTACGCCCAAGATGGATGGTAGCGGAGCTATTCTCGGTGCTGGAGCTCAAGAGTAAGACTACGCTCCCCTTTTGTGAAACTGATGCTGACGTTATGTAGTAAACAAGGATTTGAGCTTGTCTTTCTTGCTAAGAATCCCAATGGTGAGGGATGGGCGCTGGATCGGGAGAACAGTGTTGGCTTGCCTGGTGCTCATGGGGAGGAGATTGTGAGGTCTTTCTGCTTCTTTGACGAGGCTCATGTTGTGTATACTGCCGGTGAGGACGGAAATGTCAAGGCTTGGAGACCCAATTGATAGAATTGATGAAAATAAAATAGACAAACAATATAGCGATCAAATTAGATACGGCAGAGTGTATGTTTTGGCATATCTCAATTGAGGACATGTTACTGAGAGGTAATACGCTCATTTCAGTTCGTTCAGAATTGCCCCCCGAATCATGAAGGGACGGTGTCTTTTGTTGAAGATGCAATTTCATTATGTATTATTCGATGTAAGTGTTTGGCTGCATAAGCTTCGACCAAAGCACACTTTATCTGTTTTTAGGTACGAGCAGTAGTCTCCGTCGACCCAGCCATCCAAGTCCGCCTAACTTTTGAATTCATGAATGTTGAGCCAGCTGTTGGTGGCCTTTGCTAAGACAAGGCGTTAGCCGAAAGCACCAGACACCGTAGGCATCAATACTCACAGCAGTCTCTGATTTTGAACCACGGATATCCCCATTGTCTTTCTTCCATGACCTTTGTACCCTCAACTAAACTTATCATGCTTACTCTTCACCTTAATCTCCAACAACGCCTCATGATAATCGCCCTCCCTCCTCGCCCTCTTCAACTTCCTAACCTCATCCTCATCCAGTCTCCTCCCCGCCGCCTCCTCCAACTCCCTCCGACTAATCTTCGCCAACGCCTTTTCCTCCTTTGACGCGCGCAACTTGGGCTTGAACCGCGCCTGCATTCTTATCCGAAACGTTGTGTCGAACGAGATGGTGTCTGCGTCGCCGCGCACGTCTACGGCTTTAGAGGAGGCTTTGCTGGGTGCTTTTATGGTGAGGAATGTGTCGCGCAGGGTTTGTAGTTGGAAGGTTCCGGGGGTGTCGCCGGTGGGGATCACGTTGAAGGATTCGAGGGGGGATACGGCTTCGGAGGTGGCTGAGAGGAGACCGATTTTGTCGCAGGAGAGGTATCTGGGCTGCGCATTAGCTACGGGGTGTAATTGTAGATGAGGGTGTTAACTTACCTTCCGTGATGGCCTTTGAAGCGAAAGTTCTCTGTTCCAGCAACGCGATTCGCGACCCAGACTTGTCGCACATCATGCGGTTCCGCCGTCGTAGGATTCCCATCAACGATATTCTCAATCGGAATCGTGAACACCTTCCCAGTCGTATCACACGCCAGCGCCGACGGTTCATCCGTCGGTAAAACAATCATGATCGGCCCAACAACATCAGTCGCTGCCTCAGCAGAAACCCAACTGTCGTCATTCTCTGCATCTTCGCCCGTCTTTTGCAACTGCCCAGCTTCGTCGTCTACGCCATCGCGTTGGGATTTCTCGGGGTCTGTTCGCTTGCGCTTCTTGACTTTCTTGTCGCCTTTGAATGTCAATGGCTTAACCATGATCGGATATTCGAGGTTTAGCTTGATGATGTGGTTACAGGCAGGTTTGAGGTTGTCTAGGGCCGGCGGTCAACGCCGGGATACGGCGAGCTCCACTACGGGAACTGAGCTGTTCGGGAAGGTGATTGGTTATGTAATCGATCCTCCCCCGCAACTCACGGTAACCTCTGTAAGAGAAAAAGAAATAAAAGATGAGAATAATTCTCTGACTCCATTTATTTTTTTTTATCTGTCGTATAAGTTGAGTCATTGATTGTTGTGTCTCATTCAAAATGGTTGCCCAAGCTCAAGCTGTCTCTGTGTCTCTTCAGGACCTCAAGGATGGTACGTACCTCTTGGATTCATGATAGCGCCGCTGTCATGATGAATCTCTCTCGCCCTATAAAACAGCACAGTCTAACAATTCATAGGCAACGTTCCTTTTGAAACCCTCAAAGAAGCCTTTGGTCCTGATTCTCTCGGAATTCTCGTCGTAAAAGACGTTCCCAAAGAATTCCCCGAACTCAGACACCAAGCCCTCTCCTACGCCTCATACCTCGGCAACCTCCCCAAGGAAGAACTTGGTAAGTTGTCATGATACTAGTAAACAACCCTCACTAACACAGGTCAAGAGAAGCTTGAAAACGCCAGAGCTAAATATCTAACTGGCTGGTCCCTCGGAAAAGAAACTCTCAAAAATGGTCAAGTCGATACCTTCAAGGGCTCATACTACGCCAACTGCGCATTCTACATCGACCCATCTCTCGAATGCGCCAAACCAACTGAAGAATTCTCCATCGACACATTCCCCGAATATCTCGCCCCCAATGTATGGCCACCAGAGAATGTCCTTCCAGGCTTCAAGCCCTCTGTCACCTCGCTATGCCGCCTCATCATTGACGTGGCTGTCCTTGTTGCGCGCGCTTGCGATCGCTTTGCGCAAGAGGATATCCCAGGTTATCCAGCTGGATACCTAGAGCACGTTGTCAGCACTTCTAGCACCACCAAGGCCCGTCTGCTGCATTATTACCCTCAAGAAAATGACCCTGCTGCCACTGGCGGTGATGAGGATGATTGGTGTGCTACGCATTTGGACCATGGATGCTTAACTGGTCTTACATCAGCGATGTTTATCGACGAGCACAAGACAAGCCCTGCTGTACCGGAAGTCACAAACTTGAATGGCGCTTCTCTTCCACCCCTTGATGAGCTTCCCTCATCCCCTGATCCTTCAGCTGGTCTGTACATCAAGTCTCGTACAGGCGAGACAGTTCAGGTCAAGATTCCTCGCGATTGCATCGCTTTTCAGACTGGTGAGGCTCTTGAGCGTATTACTGCTGGTCGCTTCAAGGCTGTACCTCACTTTGTCAGGGGCGTAAGAGCTAGTGTTAGTGATGGAAAGATCGCTCGTAACACGTTGGCGGTGTTTACTCAGCCTAACTTGGGTGAAGAGGTGGATATCAAGCAGCACCTCACTTTTGGAGAGTTTGCTCGGGGTATTGTTGATAAGAATACTGTCTCATGATAGCTTGGTCAACACGCAAATACGAATTTTACGATGCAGTTTTGAGTCACGTCGTGTTGTTATTTTGAGAGAATAATTATCATCGCGGTTTGTTCAAATGAGTGTGTGTATTTTAAGCTCAATCCAAGACAATCCCGACAGCCTAGACAATATGGCATATAGCCAAGATGTTTGTTTTTTCTTTTGTAGCATACATATAAGGAGGGTGGTTTGTACTCCACGAACCTACTTAGATATTACTCTAGTAGGGTAAAAGGGGCAGCACGGTCATTGGAACAGAAGCGAACCTTGGCAGAGATGATAATGTATCCGGCTTTACAATAAACCAATCACTATCAGCCAAGAAAAGAAGAGAAAAGAAGGGTCCTGAACCGATGTATGCAGAAAGGATCGATGATGTTACCAAGAATTCGGCCATACAACCGGCAAGGGCCATGATCACAAATGATCGTATCCTAACATGGCATTCCTGAAGCATCAAGCACGCAAGTCAGGTTTGAGTAGACCAGTAAGCCGATTAGGCCCAAGCACCCACAAGACTCATGAAGAAAGCCCCGAAGAACACCAAAAGGCAAGCGTAGATACGCTTACGACCGCGGAGGAATCGCCAGCTCTCGTCACTGAGGAAGTCTTGAGAAAGAAGCTCAATCAGCGAGGCAAAGGTGAGAAGCCCAGCTGAAATGGCATTCATGACACCAACAACAATGAGGCCAGTTTCGGAGTTGGGGCTGTAGAGTGTGTGGGTAGCAAGGCCGATAGCTTGCCCCAGAGGAGTACTGATGCTAATGTTAGTGGACGATACAGTACGAATGGTAGCTTCAATACTTACGTGCATCCATAGGCAAGGGCCATGAACCAAGGCTGCATCTTGCCTTGAGGCCACTTGACGGAAGCGATTCGAGAGCCTAGAGCCAATCCTTCAAAGGTTTCTACAATCGTGTCAGTCCAAGTTCAAAGCCGCCAACATGGTATGTCAACTTACGGTGAAAGATAATGGCAATGAGTAGAATAATGAATTCGTTGCCAATCGAAACGCTGAGCGCCATGCCGATAAAGACACTATGGAAGAGAATACCAAGCTCGAGCAAGACGCACTGGAGAAGCTCCTTACGTTGCTGCTGCTCTGGGGTCAAGCTTGGCATCTGTACAGCCTCGAGGCTCGTCTCCTCGAGGTTCTTTCTTCCAGATTGGGCGTTGTCGTCATCTTCGCAAGCTTCTTCATCCAGATTCTCCAATCGTTCATCTTTGCTGTTCAAGACAGAAAGTCCCTGGCCAATGCTGGAGGATCGTCCACGAAGAGGTCCCATATCCCGGATGGGGAGCATGCCTGTGCCTCCCATGCACCCACCACTGTTAGAGTTGCCATTCTTGGCATCGTTGTCGGTTCCAGACGTGATCTCAGCAGGTGAAACATGGCGAGATGGGTGAAAGACCATCTCAATAACAGTGACAAGGAAAATGGCAGCAAGAGCAATAGCACCAGGCATGGCAGGGTAGTCCTGGTTCCAGAAGCTGCTCAGGCAAGGGTCCCCGAGAGAGATGAAAGCAGTGGGGAGCAAATGGACAAAAGCCGTAGCAATCAGCACACCAGTGCCGAAATGGCGTACAGCAAAGAAGAAACGAGTCGGAATCCTCAGACCTGGGAACTTGGTAGCCATGATAGGGAAAGCGCAAGCAAGCGTCGAAACGCACAGGATGATGAACAAGGCTCCAACATGGAGAGGAGTGTTGTATTCAGCCTTGTTGACACCTCCAGTTTCGCAGGTGCTTCGCTTGCGGAGAGGCGAGACCTGAACAGGAATCGACTCATGGGCCTTGGGGGTTGAAGTCATGGCAGCAGGCGCAGAGGCAGGGGAGTTCCAGGATGAGATGATCGTCGAGACAACAAGAACAGAGAGGACCCAGACGGTCCAGCTCCAGATGTGCGAGGCACATGACGAGAGGGTGCCTCGATGAAGACGGATTTGGTCATCACCACCATCTACCGTCTTGAGATACGAGGACAGTCCTGGGTAAGTTAGTATTGGAATGAAACTGATATGTGGATTATGACAAGGAATAATCATGAGATTTTTGACATACCCGAGATACGGGACAGTCGTCCCGCATCCTTTTCAGAGCCCAGGAAGGGCTCCGTAGGATGACTCCCCGCTTGATTACTTTCATCGTGTGAATTCAATAGACTTCCACTCGTGCCTCCACTTCCGTCATCCTGCCCAGCATCAACATGCTCGCGGAGGTTGGAGATGCCATTGAGATCCTGACGCGTGGTATTCATGGCTGCCAGAGGAGAAGGAGCTTGATTCCAAGTCAAGCGCTGGTAGAAAGATTCGTCTGCTTTGGAAAGGCAAATCATTTTTTTTGGGAACTTTTGGGATGATGAGTTCAGCCCCAACTTTGTTGAAGAGGATCGTTTGATAGGGAGCCCGTTTGAAAAGTAAAGTTTGTTTGTCGTCACGGGCGAAAGGCCACGAATACAAAGTCTCGGCCGATTACAGTCAAACGGAGTAGTCCAATGTTGATGAGTTTCGATAATTGCAGTGAACACGTTACAATTTGGAAGAGGTTCAAAAATTGGAATTGATGCGATGACGGAGATATAAGAGAATAGAGTTATCGCGTAGTGTACTACTTTAAATCGGTCGGCAGACAAAAGGGTTAAAGTAAATGGCACCTGGATAAGCAGAACACAGCCGCTAACTCCACTCACCTGCTTCAGAAACTGGGGGAGGTGGCATCCATGAACATTGGGATCCAGATCAGGTAAAGACTTTTTCTTGTCTTAGTCTTGGGGAAGTCAATATCCCCGGCTTCGCCCGCGTGACCAACAGCCGAAGACATTGACTCAGTGTTTCTTGATTGGCTCGTGACTCGAGATACACGGGTCAATACGGAAAACCACGAGCATTTCCTTGTACCTCGTCCCCGCAATCTCTCTCCTCCGTTGGGTCCCGGTCATCGGCCGGAAGAAGCATGCGAACGGGCGGCTCAAGAGCTCGGGAGACCTCCGTAGTTACCTACCTACCTACCTACCTACCTACGCTACGTTATGATCCATGAATAGAAGAATATCCACAAACTATTGATCACTTGATCACGGTACAATCTCAACACTGAAGCCCGTGAGAACGTAGAAAAGTCTAGATTTTCTCTTACCCCACAGGAATACGACCGAACACGCTTCATCGAACCAAGCCAAACGCCGGCAGAGAATTTCAGCCCTCCCCGTCTTGGCACGCCATGTCTATGCCGTATAACTTGCATGTCAATTCGGTGAATCGAGGTGAGAGCCGAAGGGTCCAATAGCTTTGAGTTATCACGAGCAAGCATGTCTCGTCACTTGTCCAAGATAACTAACTCCCCGCAGCTTGACCGCACTCACATGCGGTAAACTTCCGGAATAGAAATGAGGCCCAAGTGACGATGAGACTGCCAATTGTTACATCGATGATGCGTCTGGTCTTGTGTTTGTTCCCACCCATATATTACTGGTCCGCTATGATCGACAAGAGTCTTGGCTATTGTGCTTGGGCTGTGAATCATTTAGCACTGTAGAACAAGCATACCTCAAGCTTGATAACCGTGATTCAAGTCGAAAAGACGACGAAAATAATGATCAAGACATCAAGGTAAGAAGGTTTACGATATGGGTCTTGTCTAGGATCATATACGAAATGGAGCTGCGATTACATAAGACGTGATGTGATGATGCTGCGTAATTGCATCATCCTTCTTCACATGAATACAACCTCATTTATACTCTGTGATAATCTCAAAAACACAGCATCTCGTCTCCCAACTCACCTAAATCAGCATCTCAGATACTTAGACATGGCCCTTCCTCCGAAATTCGCCGGGCAGAAGCTCCAGTTCGCCCACCCTCCCGCCTCCGACTCAGCCGTCGCTCACACAACTCACACTCTCGAGTTCTACCTCGACTACTGCTGTCCCTTCTCCGCCAAGATCTTCCGCACGCTGCAAAACGACGTGATCCCCGCCATCAAGGCCAACCCAGCCTGGGCATCCAGCCTCACCTTTATCTTCCGCCAGCAGATCCAGCCATGGCATCCTTCTTCCACGCTCATGCACGAAGCTGCTCTAGCTGTTCTTCGTCTTGCGCCTGAGAAGTTCTGGGAGTTTAGCGCTGTGTTGTTCGATGAGCAGCAGGACTACTTTGATGTGAACGTTGTGAACGAGAAGAGAAATGATACGTATCGTCGTTTGGCAAAGGTTGCGGCCAAGGTTGGCGTTGATGCGGATAAGGTGTTTGAACTACTTGTGATCTCTGACAAGCCTGGCGAGGATGGGGCGCTGAATGCGGGTAACAAGGTCACCAATGATGTCAAGGTTATCACCAAGATGAATCGTTTGGTTGGCGTGCATGTCACTCCTACTGCAGTGTTTGATGGTGTTGTGCAGGATGTTAGCTCTGGATGGACAAAGGAGCAGTGGATTGAGTGGCTACAGAAGAATGTCGTTTGACTTGAATCAGAGAATAGACATAAGAGCCATAAACTCTGAATGGAATAAATGAATCATGGTATAGACAATTGAAGCTGTCACCAAATCTTCCGAATGTGTCATTTTTACGGTGACAAAGTGGCCAGAAGCCCTGTGAAAATCATCCCAGCCTCAGCGCGTCTCCCCACTGGCATCAGTTTTTGACATCGTTCTCATGAGCCTCTCATAACGACTACGATTCACACAACAATCACAATGCATCAATTGAGAATGGTAATACCAAGGCTACGGCCAACTCAATTAACCTCTCTCGCCCGCCAAACAACACCTCTCCAATCCTCAGCCCTTCCCCGAAACTTTCGTCGCTCACTACAAAAGTCTTTACAAGCTCAAGTGAGATGCTACGCCAAACCTACAGCCAAGAAGCCCATCAAGATAGAAGATGAGCTTAAACGACAAGCTAGAGCTGCTTCTAAAGATGGCAAGGAATTTGGTAGGTCTGATTGAGAGTGATCGAGAGAATGGTGGCTGATGCTGTTTAGAACTCCCTGAGAAACTCATCATATATCATGCTGGAACAGGCCGCATCACATTCATGGCCATGCTTAAAATCACGACGCTCTTCCTCGGCGCATTCTTCTGCTGTGTCGTAGCACCAAGCTACATCAAAGCTGAAAAGCCCAAGCTACTCACCGCAGGCGGTATGTCCTATCTCACTCACCCTCACAGCAAACCACCAACTAACAACACCAAGTCGTCCTATGCGGCATCATCCCCGTCATATTCGTCACCTACATAACCTCCCCCTTCGTAACCCACATCCACATCCACCTCCCCCCCTACGCCCGAACATCACGCCCCATCCTAGAGCGCTTCATCAAGAACCTCCCTCCCACAACGCCGCTCACCCTAACAACCATGAGCGCCATCTCCAAGCCTCGCTACAGCAGCATGCACGCCGGTGATCTGAGCCCTGTGCGACGCCGTCTCGGCCTCATCAATTACGTCCGTGACACCAAGGAAGAGAACGCGAAGCGCAAGTGGTATATGTTCCGTGCCGTCGGCAAGTTCTACGTGCAGGACAAGAGGCCGCAGACGAGGGTCCGGTATCAGAAGAAGACGGATAAGGTCGATGGTTGGATCTGGGATGTCATCAAGGAGCGCATTGATAATAGGGCGTTGAAGGCTGCGTCACCTTATAAGGGAAATGTCTCGATTTGAACCGTTTGTCCGGTTCTGTACTACCATGTATGCACGATATATCGGAGAAACGGGAATGCTCTTCGGTTCGCTCGTTGTTAGTATTACAAGCCTAGTCTCGTAAAGAAACGGACAGCATGGCCCAATGAATTGATGAACAGGTAACGCGGGAACCATTGCTTCGGAGCAACGGGATAATCTCCATGTGGAAGACCAATATACATGAAGTTGACCCGTGCTCTGATCGGCGTCCAATGGCAAGTACCTGGTTCATCAACTCAAGACTTCGTATCATGACCCCAGTCAATTACACACCCCTACATGTTCGTCACTTCAATAGCACACATATCACCATTAGATGAGGATAGATCAATCAAGCTCTCAAACAATGCGCCCAGTACACGCAACCTTGATATTTATACGTTGCATATCAAATCAAACCAATCCAGAAGCCATGACTCCTTTCTGTTTTTCCTTTGTTCCCAATGCTCCGCCAGAAGCCTTCCAGGTCGTCAATCACGTAGACAAATATTGGTACATGGATCCTGCCTGTCCAACCGAAACAAACGCACCTCATAGTAGGTACGGGCCCTTTCCATTTGTTGCTTGTGGGCCTAAATAATTCTTAACGCCTCCATCATGGCTCGTTATATGTTCTTGTCAATCCTGTCAAACCATCGTGATCAACCGGTTTCTATACAATAATACAAGCCCTTCCTTCTTCTGGCTGCATTCAAGTTCTGTCTATGACGGAACATGTAATCAAGGACTGCAACAAGTCTGACAACTTGATAGGGCCATGTCCTTAGCAGATTCGTCAAGAGGAGCTCTGTTGCTGTAACCAAGTCCAGCACAGAGCTCGTTGACAGATCGCCTTTCGCCTAGTAGGAACCAGCTTCAGGAGTATTCATCCTTGAGAGGTGATAGCTCAATCAGCAATAGCATCCTTTCATCAGTGTATATTCATCACTGGCCCCATGCTCGCTTCAACCCACCCTCGTAAACGCTTGCAACCGACTCTTGCCACATTGCAGGGGTGACAAAGTTTGGCACCGGTGCAGACGAGTACTGAGATGGCGAGATTTGATGCGATCCAGCAGGCATTGAAGCCTGAACTGCCTGGATATCCTGGATAGTGGGAACTTCCGTGGCACCTGAGGACGACGCGTTAAGAGGGCTCGTGTGAGGCGGGGTGGAGCTGGATTGTGTGTGAGAGGCAGGCGTACCAAATGTGGTGTTCCATTGTCTAAGAACTAGTTAGCAAGCTGCTAGATGACAGTACAAAAGGCTTCAACTTACTCAAATAGTCGCGATGGATTCCATGCGGGTTGGTCCGTCATCGACATGCTCTGGGGCATTCCAGGAGCTTGCGATCCTTGCGACATCATGACGAGCGACTGTACAGCTGGGGAGTCACTTTTGCTGTCCAAAGGGCCCGCGGAAATAGGAGGTGTAATGGGGTGGTTGGTATAACTGACTTGTTGAGCACCGTGTGTATCCAAATGTTGATCAATGGACCCTGTCCGGTGGATTACTGGTCGGAATGAGTCGTTACCGCGAGGAGGGCTGGAGTGGGTGGAAGGATGAGGGCTGCCGTAGGGAAAGCTGGGTTTCAGGACGAATGGCTTTCGAACATCTGCTGAGAAAGCATCTCGTAGTGCATTGATCTGCTTCTCTAACTCTGGCATCGGCCATGCTTCCATCACCTTCTCCAACACCCTCATGTGCCTCGTAAAGTATTCGCGAGCATCAGTGTTTAACTCGGGGTCTGGTGAAACAATTGCAACCTATTGAAAATGAGTCAGTTTGTGTCGACGGCTATCCTCTTCGGAAACCTACCAGATGAATGACGATGCAAGAGAGACCTGCATAAAGAGAGAAACTGAAGCCTCGCTGCATACACTGGAGTCCCGTAAGTCCAAAAGAGTTGAGAGTTGCCTCCTGAAGACGGCACAATGCCTTGGCAGAGCTGTAGCAAATCATCATATGGCGTTTCCATTGTCCGTCCGGAGAATTAGGGTCAAGGAATGACAGAATAGGTCGATGGAACAGAATCATGGCCAGATAGTAGTATCCGTGCATGTTTCCAATAAAGTGCGAGGGAATCCAAGGAGGTGATCCATCGGGTGGGAAGGAAATGGCCAGATCCGGAGGCAGTTCGGTCAGCCAAGTGTTGAAGCTTTGTCCCAACTGCTGGAATTCAGGGTCAACACCCCAATCTTTTCGTCTTCGTAGTCTTGTGTAAACTTTGCTCATGGTAGCAACAGTTCGCACAACCTGAGAAAAGTAGCTGAAATTGCGCGAGATGTGGTATTCGGATTCTTCGCAGCCTGGAACTGGTCTCGCAGCGGTGAAATCAACTGTGTTAAGTTTCACAGCGTGGTCGTGTCGCCCTTGTTCATGTTAGCCATCAACACAACAGTATCCATGCAATTGTCACTTACCTTGAGGAGCTCCAACCATGACCTCGCAGACAAAGACCAGCTGCCATAATCGCTTTCGAAGTTGGCACTCAACCGGGGTAAACTCGCAAGAAATACCTGCTTGGTGGTCCTCGTGATGCTCATCCAAGCCCAGGTCCTTGCCCATCTGAACACACTGTACAACAGTCATCCAAGAACGATAATAGTAACCTCGCTTGGGTGCAGCTTCGCGAGCCTTAAGAATCATAAGCAGGGCTTGAAGAGTGCTCAAACGTGGAATGTCCATGAAAGAATCGGCGTGTCCTAAATTGTGTAAGTATCCTCACAATTCTCTTGTACAAATTAACAGCACTTACGAGAAGCGAGGGCAAGCCATTGTTGGCCCTCACCCGGTTCCTCAGCCAAACGGCCACCCATAGCAAAGATCGCTTCCAGAATCAAAGGAGAAATAGAGTTTCGGTCCGTGTTCCATTGTTGGTAGAAGACCGTCTTGCATAACACAGGAACGTAAGGGTGAACGTGTGTGAAATAAAGGTCGAAATAATTGAGTGCTGTCTCGTCATCGGGCATTAACTCAGGCGGTATGCGAATCTTATGGCCAGGTGCAGGCCTAGGTAAATTGGCCGGGAACTCCTCATCGTCTTCGATAGCTGGCTCCTCTTCACGTCTGAACGATGCCTTGTTCCTGAGATATGGAGCTATATAGACATCAGTAACTGTATGGGCGAGCATGTGTATTATGAACCCCTACCTGTACCAGTTTCATTGACCTTCAGCGTTCCCAAGAGATCTGCAAGGTCATGATGTTGATATTCTCCAGGTGAGTAAGCCTCTGGGGAAGGTTGCTGCTGAGCTGCAGGAGGCGGTGGTGGCTGGTGCATTGGAGGAGTGGGAAACACATTCTGGCCTGCATAATGCTGTTCCATCATCGAACCGGAAGGCGCAACAGCACCATAAGGCATACCACCAGGTTGCTGAGAGGTATCGTACTGAACATGCTGATACTGGGCGCTCGGGTCAGGGTAACCTGGCTGAGGAGCACCGTACATAGCAGCTGGCGAGATCTTTGTGCCTGGGTTCATTACTTGATGTTGCATTGGCATTTGCTGATATTGATCTGAAGGGTTCATGGGTGTTGTGTCATAAGTCGTCGAGTCGTTGGCTCCATCGAAACCATTTGGCCGTACGCAGTGAAGCTTGAGCCTTATGCAGGCCGAGCATGGCCATGTGTTTGTAGTCGCAGCGTCACATTTGATCTTCCGTCTTCTGCAACCTTCGCAAGCCCTCATAACTGCTGTAGTCTTAGCATGCAATTATTAACTTTGTACCTGCATGGGTAATTATACCTTTCAACCGCTTATGGCGGTTGTGCTCGTCAACGAACACATAGTCTACACGTATGTTAGTTACCATGTCAAAATAGCACACGAATATGCTGTATGCTCCCACGCACTCTTTTGGGTCTCGCGCTGCGTGTATTGCTGCGGCGCAAAGGAAAAGGAATTCATTTGGGATTGTTGTGGTAGAATTCGGCGAACAGTAGGGTCGTCGTTTGACATTATAAGCAGTACAGTACAGTTCCGAGGTTTGTACCTCTAAGAACGTCGAGTATTGACGATGACGGCGGTCAACATGAAAATCGGTTCGCAAATTCAGATAAACGAGAGTCGGGAGATCGTCGCAACAGATCGAGTAAATGGTAAATAGGTAGATGTTCGGAGTTTGGGAGTTTGCGCGCGATGGGGAGGAGAATCGCGGGGTGGAGGGATGCTCGTGGGGACAATGTCGTGACGGTGGGCGACAAAAGCAAGCAACGATGGGCTAACGTTGGGCGGTAAATAAGGTCAAGATCCAAGTCGGGGCGACAAGATAATGGAGGTGTGCGACGTGGGTAGAGTAAGTAGGAAGAGATATAAACTATTTGTCGTGCAAAGAGAAAAAGCGTAACGTAAGGAGGCGAAAACCGCAACAACAGACAGACAAGAGATATTGTATGGTATGTACGAGAGCTAGACCAGCTAAAAGACGTCCAGTATTAAATCGAGTTGGCTGGCTGGACTGGCTGGAACTGGGCTGGCTAGGGGCGTGTCGGGGTACTGTACTATGTATGTAGACGATGGTGTGTCTTGGAAAGCTTAGAGCAAGGTAGTGGGAGTTAAAGTGAACCGTAGAGTCGGGTGTTTAGAGCCACTGCGTGTGGCTTTGAGTTTTGACTTTGTCTCTCTTTGGTCTTGGTCTTGGTCCTGTCTTGTTAGTTATTTCGTCTTTGCTTTTGCAGGGCAGGGCCAAGGGCGGCATCAAAACATGGGTGTGATGTTATAATATGTATCGGGGAAAGCTTGGCCTATGGGACTTGTCTTGGAAGAGTGAGTGAGTGCCTTGATCTGTCTGCGTATGGCCTGGCCTGGCTTGCGTTGGCCTGTGCTATGAGCCTGCCTGGGATGCTTTGCCTGACCGTCAGTCCCTCCTCACCACACTAGAGACTAGTGACGAGCAAATGGTGGAGAGTTTCGGGCTGGCGTTATTTGGATCACAACAGGGCGACAAGACCAGACAAGACAAGACAAGCCAGGGCTCAACTAACAGGGGCGGGACAGGACAGGAGACCAGGGGAGGGGAATGGGATGGGATGGCGATGGAGATGGGTACAGCAGGCTAGGGGAGGGGCTTGAGGGGAGATGCAGGTAAGGAAAAGCGGCGTCGTGGGTGTGGGATGAAGGCCCAGAACCTAGAAACTTAAGAGCTAGAGCCAGTGCCAGAGCCTGAGCTAGAGCCAGCAGGTACCGTACTGGGGCGAATCCAGTACCGTATGTTGTGGTTTGAACTGATTTGGATACTCTCCATCAAGACTGTAGAAAACCAAAGCTCCCAGGACCGGCTATGGGCACCGGCCCGAGTGGACGGCGTGTTACAGAAGACACACGACGACGTAAAATGTGGGCAGGGCATTGAGTGAGCGAGCGAGCGAGTGAGTGGCAGTGGATATCTGGTGCTTGCTTCGGGGTCCTTTGCTGCGAGATGTTCTGCAATGAAGTGTACGTACTCTATTATGGACTGGATCGGATGGATTTGGACAGGATTGTGGAGGATTCAATGTGGTGGTGCTTTAATTGTTAGCTGGAGAATAAGAGCCGGGGGGGTCTGTTGCGGCATTAGCGGACTTTTGATGATTTCAATGCATTGTAGTGTGTAAGCAGTAGAAGACTCGATGACATTCGAGTGAGGATGAAATACCGAATGGAGTTCCCTTCTCAAAGGGCGCATACAACGAGAGCGAGAATTTAGTAGCCACGTACATGAAGAATGCTCCGAACAGCAACAGTCAGCAACACAACATAGCACAGCACAGCAGAAAATTCAAGATATTATTCCCGACGGCAGAGTCGCGTGTGTATCCAATCGAAGACAATGGCTTTGAGGAGCTCTGATGAAACGTATGCCGAGACTTGGGACCCCAACAAGGGGTTGTTCTGGGTACTTTACTTGATCAACTAATTCTTTGCCTTGTCTTGTCTTGTCTCCAATCTGCCAGGCCTGCACCGCACTGCATCATTGCATCTGCACTGCGTGCGTTGCGTTGCGTTGCGTTGCGTCTGCTGCATGCGTCTTGTATGTCTGTTCGCTTGTCACAGACTCATCGCCGTACTGTATGTACTCGGCCAAGGGCCTATGACTTGAACGCTTGGGAGGTTGCAGGAGGGGGGAGGGGGGGTCATCCCGTCTCATGGATGTGGATGTGGATGTGTGACAGGCATTTCATGGGAGTATCCAGCGCCAGCCTCTCCAGACAGAGACAGAGACAGGGGCCCTAAAGCCACTGGATATACAGTATGACGGTGCATTGAGATCCCTCGCACTGGGTTGTCGGTGTGCTGTAACCTAGCTATCGACGATGATGATGATGGAGATGGAGGCAGACAACGGACGGAGATGGAGATGCCGATAGTGGTGATGGTGAGTGAATTGATTGATGGTGGTGGTGATGCTGATGCTGGTCGGCTCTTGTGATACTTCAACCTCAGCATATCCTTAGTTTCCTTCCTCTTCTGGCTCTCTGCTTGGACACCTCATACAAAAGATGCTCCTCTCGCTTCTTCTCCTTCCGTCCTTTCCAGTTACCGTTCGCGATACGCGGGACTCAGGCACCTTCCGTCACGCACATGCCATGCCGCAGGGCTAGTCGCAGCATGCACCTCACCCATTGGAGAAGCAACCTCAACTTGACACTTAGGGCTGAAGAGGCTTTTCGAGATTGGACATGGGCCTGGTCCTCTCTCTAGGCTCTAGGGGGGGCGTGTCTCTTTTTCCAAATCGACACTGTATTCGGTAGGGGACTGATGATTTTCTGCCGGAAACTCTCTTCTCACTCTCCGCAGCCTTATACCTCAAGATTGCGGGCGCCAGCTCACCTCACCTTTCGCGAACTACTTACAAGACTGCACTACGGTACGCTATCCGCTACTAATACTGACGCGAGATGCGGAACCAAATCCACGTCTAATTGGTTTCTAGCGCTATGAGTTGTCAAGATTTGCTGGTTCGTCATTCATTTTCATTACCTTGCCTTGCTCGCCCTGGCTAGGCCCAGTGTGTCAGGTGTCGCCCCTCGGCTCTGCTGTGCGGTATTCAGTGAAGCTCCTTCAAACTATCCTGACTGGATACAATAGCAAGCTGCCCTTTTCAGCCATCATTGCATCTTCTAGTCATGACTTTCTATAACTGGACGACCATCTCGCTGGCCAAGAAAAGATCGCTACTCAACGGCTAATCACAGAGGTCCACCATGTCTCAACAGTCATGCATGCGAATTCGTAGTTACTGTAATTGTGCAATTTGGTTAGTTTGATTATCGAGACTCTCAGATATTTACTGTCTCAGGATATGAGTTTCTTGATCATAATCAGTTAGTTTGGGGCAATGCGGTTAAACGCTCCACTAGCATTCAAGACTATAAAAACAATCCCAAGCATGATCGTCATAATGAAACCGCCATGCGAGTTCTATATTCAGCCATGGTAATTACCTAGATAAGCCTATTAGACGCTCCAAAGTGGCTGCTTGAAGCTACATCCTAGTCGATAGAATAAGGCAGGTAAGCAACCAGTTAGTGTACCGAGGTTCCTTTAGAAGCTATGATCCCAAACCAGGATTTTCGAAGGGGGCTGTTTATTCCTTGGTGAAACTTCGCAATTACATAAACTTCCCGTCTCTTGGTAGAACTGGGATAAGGCATATCCATGGATCTGGGATCTCATCCGTCCGTCGTTGGTCGTTTCGAGTGACCATGGTGCATACATAGACTTTTGCCCAACTACCGAACCGACGTCGATTATTCCGAGTCAGAATATCTCAGTTTGAACGTCAAACGTCACAACTTGACTTGAGAAAGCCCCCTCGCTCTCCTCATAACACAGGAACATGCCAACAAGCACGCAAGGGCCTCAAAGACCCAAAAGGACCCTGGTCAGGGCACAAGAACGGTAAGTGCGTACTTCATCTGCCTTCCATGTTGGGTTCATCTCTCTGGAGAATTTCCAGATGTCCCGCCATTGGATCTGAGTTGACAAAGCCCTGGACTGGGCTAGGCTGGCCTCGGGGTGGTAAAACTTCTGACGTTAAAACAGGTGCCAAAATTAACTGGTCTAAAGGCGTACTAAAATACACAACATTCGCCTGAGTATTTTCGTCACTTGGGACAGCGGACCTGTTTTCTTGTCTGCCCTAGGCTGGGCAGCTCCAGATACCGACACCGCGGCCAAACTAGCGCCATCCAATATCCATTTGCAACTTAACCAAATGTGAAATTCTGTGACCCACAATGATTTAGATCCAATGCTAAACAGTTCTTGAGACTGGAGACCTTTCCAAATCTGCAGCAGTCCAAATTCGGGTGGGTGCCAACCGCACGATGTCCTGATCGATGCCTCAACTTCTTCATCATTTTACGGTACAGCCTACAGGATAACAACAGCTACAGTGTGTATGGTATTGGCTCCTTTGCGAGGCCGTGTGATCTAAGGGTGGCTTGTGTGGGTTCCTCGGATACATTACCCAATCCTGTCGGTTCTACTAGTTTTGTATTCTACCGTTGACGAACGCCTCGTATCATACTATCTTGCCACCACCATGACGAGTCGATGCGGTGGAAAAAAGGTACAGCAGAAAAGGACCTGCCTAGACTGTCGTTGCTTGACTTTCCAAGTGGTCGCATGAAGATCGCCCGTGCAGATTGGTGTCCGCTGCATCTGCCACGCGCCAGATACCCTAGGTGCCGTTAAATTCGGGGGCCAAATGACTGAGATTCATTTCCAGTCAACTACGCACGTACGTTTGTGGCAGACATGCATGAAGATTCGGAAATATCAAGGAGTGAGAGAATTGGATGAGTACGAACTTCTTTGTCGATCTGGTCGTGACATATCATATTCTCCTCCGCGGGCTTTTGTTTCTCACTCACTTACAGTGGGGATTGTGATATCAATCAACAAGAGATGGATGGATGGATGGATAGGTATTAGGTCACGCATATTTAGAAATACAAACTAAATACCTCTTGACATTGAGCTAGACCCCTACATTTAACCCGTACCCATCAGGATGATCCATTCCCCTTGGGTCCTCAAACTGGTTCTCCCCTAGCGTCATTTCCCAGAGGTCGGTTAAGCAAGAGAAACAAGACTAACTATCCCGTACTCAATGAGTCTTTTGACTGGTGGCAGTTCCATGTTGAACCATGTTATTCCAGTCCTTGGCCCATTTCGCTTTTGGTGCTCCTGCAGGAGGCACACGAGATTGATTCGTCTGCGCTTGCATTGACGGTGCACCTAGTAACGAGAAGTTGTTTGATATCACATGCCATGTTTGTGCGTTTCTTAGCAAAGACGTCAACTAAATGCGCTGTGGGGTTGCTTTGTGCCGAGGCTCGAGTTCCCGGGCGGAGTTGACGGGACGGGGATCCCCGTCTCTTCACCTCAGTCTGGCAACTTGAAGAATTATCGATATACCCGGTCCGACACTTCATAGACAACCGGAAACAGGACTGAGTTTCTCTTACTATACAGGTTTCAGTGTTTGTGACGCAAAACTCGGTTTTGTTTTCTGCAGGCGATTATTCTCGGTGCGATGAGTTGAACAAGAAACTCGCCATGCTTCATACTGTATCTATTCATATCTCGTCGGCGTGTTCCGCTCGAAACCTCGTCCCTTATGTGGGTAATTAAACCAGACGGTTTACGAATCTGGCCATCCTATTTCCTCATTGGCGGACTATACTCGCTGTATTTCTTCGACAGAGGGCTCATATCTGCGTCTTGAACCAAGAACCTCATTCTGCTAACAACCCATGCTAACCCCAGGGTAAATCTTGCCCCATCATCGTTGCATTGTCCTGTACTGTCCTATCCTGCACAGCAGACACTCCGTATCCGTAGCTGAGCCGGCTATAGTGTGGTGGGCAAAGATCCTCAATTATGAAGTTCTGACTAATACTTGTGTAAAAATATCTGACAAGTGCGGGCGTTGGATTCAGACCTTGAGGCTTGAGGTTGTGGTTGATTCCCACCCGAATCGGCCCGCGGAACATTTTAGCAGAATTCGAGGTCATGATCAGCATGAAATTTATGTGCGAACAACCAACAGCACAGGTCGTAGGTCGGTAGTTGAACAACGTGGTAGTGGTAGCGGAACGGATCCTGCAGACCATCTTCCGGACTGCACGGGTACAGTACAGTAGTGTAGTGTTGAATCTCTCATCTCGTGGGAGTCGATGAGGCTACCCTGTTCTAGAAAACACCTCCGATATTGGGGAGAGATCGCGCGCCACGATCCTTCGTGCTCAGACTTCAGGGCCACAGACTTCAGGGACACGCACGCACGCCATGGTCCGTCGCCCAATCGCGACAGGGACAGCGCTTCTGAGCGGCTTCCAAGCGCGTTCCTTGCAAGGATGGGAGACCCTTCCACGGAGTTTCCAGAATTACGCACTCAACTCACTCGGCCGGCACTCCCTAGGCCTGGGCAGCCCCCGCAGCCTCACCCCTAATACGGACGGGACCTGTCAAGAGCCATGACAGGACCTTTTTTAAGGTAGTGGAGGCTATATGTTATTAGTTCGTGTGGAAATTGCTATTGTCAGCTCACACCGCCAGCCTTCTTTCCTGTGTTTGACTCGTAACCAAGTGCGAGGCGACAAGACTTTTACCGCCTATTCGCTAACGTTCTACGAGACATGGGGTCATTGTTGGATACAGACTTTGTGTCCAATGTTTTGACCCCTGTATCTGATGGTGAGTGACCTTCCAACAAACACCACAGATTCAAGAAATTTGTGCATGAATGCGCCAAGTTTCGAGGACATGATGATCTCTCCTATCCGTGTTCATCTACCGAATGTTGATCATTGCAGCCCAAAGATCAAAGTGAAGCATTAATTGGTCGTCAAACTTGGCGATGGACCGTGCTGCGCCTCACCAATTTGCGAGGCTTATCAGATGTGGCGCTTAGTAACTCTGCTATACTTTGTACTTACTACCCCTCCCACTTTGAACTTCAAATCATCAAATCCCTTCCCCATACAACAAACAACCTTGTCCATTAACGACAAATTCTTTAAGCCTTCAAAATTAGCATAGCACATTTGCAGCTGTCATCATCTCCACCATCTCATCTCCTGCATATCCTGTATTGACGACCCATTGCTCTCCCTTGCCGCGTCACCTCATCCCAAATAGCCTCAAAGCCTTGGCCATCTGAATCTGAGATCCCTGCATATTGAGTTGGTCCAAGTTCTGCATCGCAATGGCAACCTTGGATAACGCGAATCCAACTATCCTGAGTGCATCTCAGCTGCCTACCCGGCAGAAGAAGTCTGAGCCGCGTCGGGGTCCGGATTCCAAATACGACGATATCATCTTCGCGAAGCCGTCGTATCTTTCAGGGCCTTTCGGTCAAGGTCCGGCCGCATGGCCTCGAATGAACGACTGGCAGGATGAATTCTCATCCGAAGCTATTGACGAACAAGAAATTTATGGTATGATCCTTCTCCATTCCACTTGAGTCATTTCGTTGGTGAATTTGCCACTCCAATATCTTCGTGCGCATTTACGCTGGGGCTCGGGGCTCGTGAGGGTTCCAAGTGACTCGAGTACATATCCACGTTTAACAAGACATGGCACTAACGTTGGACAGATCTGATCTCAACAATCTCGGATCCAGAGCACCCGGTATCACTCGGCCAATTGTCAGTGATTAACCTCTCTGATATTCACATTACTCCCTCTCCTTCTATGGGCGTTCCTGACCCCAATACCATCGTCCAGGTGGTTGTGGAGATCACGCCTACCATCACCCACTGTTCGCTAGCCACCGTTATCGGACTGGGAGTTCGAGTAAGACTGGAGCAGGCACTGCCGCCCAACTACCGTGTGGATGTTACCTGCAAAGAGAACAGCCACAACCAAGATGACCAAGTCAACAAGCAATTAGGCGATAAGGAACGAGTTGCTGCAGCTTTAGAGAACGACACTCTGAAGGGAGTACTGGACAAGATGTTGGAAACTTGCGCTTAGTCATGACAAAAACTTCTATTTTTGAAGACTACACTCTTTTAGAAGGCTTCAATATCACAGGGATTCGGCTCGCTGATCTTCTGGTGCGCACCATCGATTAATGTCACTACAACATAGACAAGTGACCAATACGAAGGATGCGGAACATGATCATTCTCGTTCCGAAGCCTAATGGCAGGAGCGAAAATACCACCTTGGTGACCTTACCATGTCTTGAATCTCGGCATTCAAGTTGGGGTAGTCTGGATAGACTGTACCGTTAAACTGGTAATGAGAGACCGCTGGGGAAAACAGCGATTCTTGATTGGAGAGCAAGGACAAGGGGTTCTATCATGGATATCCTTATCCAAATAAGGTTCAGCTACCACGAGCAAGTCACGCTACTCATGAGAAACCTTCCTCCAGTCCAAGTGCAACATCGCAACGAGTGGACATTCCAATATATTTGACTGTTGGAATCTGGTATTTTGAGAGTATCGAGAATGTCATTGGTGTCACCTCGAGCTAATTTTTAGTTTGATACACAACACATGGTTGGGTTGCAACAAATGCATGTGCATTTGCCTTGATGTATGAATACGCACATATTCACAATCAAAGATATATGTCGACTCCTTCAACTTCCTTCGTCCATGAGCCTCTGTTTCTTCTCTATCCTCTCGTGCATAAAAACCGACGTCGACCAGATTCCACGATTAGCTTTCCGTTTTGGGAATCATCGTCGTACCATACTAAGTAGCGCCCTATATCAGCATGTTACTCGTGGAGGCGTCCCAACGTCCCCCACTTCGGGTCGCCGCAAATCCAAACGTCCCTGACCTGACTGAGTCTGGGCCCCATGGTTCATGGTCACTTCAGTGCCTTGACAGGCACTGTAGGCTACGGAACGGAACCTACCGCCACGAGACGTCATGCTTGACTCTGTCGGCCCTTTTCATAGCCAAGAGGCAAGGTCCTCTCTCATAGGGCACTATCAAGAGCCGTCTGTTTTGTGCGATTTCTCCTTTCGTGGCATGTCCTGCCAAGACTAGTAACTCCCGTTTGGCAGGTCTAAAAGAACTGGGGATTTGGACTTGCCGCCACACATGATCATATCATATACCAAATCGGTCAAGCCTCACGGTACTCAACTCATCAATCAGTCTGTCCTCGAAATCATACAGTACCGTAGTCACGCCCCTAGCTTCTGTCTTGGAGACTTCATCCATATCACTATCCTTCAGGGGTTAACCCCCGCTCCCCCAGTGTGTTTGCGGTTTTGTGGACGCCCAGGGATCACAGTTGCATTTCGCTTGGACGGTCTCAAATAATATGTTTGGGGGGAAGCAACCTTGCCTTGCGTCTGCGTGACGATCCCCCGATCTTGCAACTCCCGCGACGCGATCCCCCCGGTTCGATACGAGTCTCGGGATTGGTCCGCCATTGACGTTGCAAAGAGACATGCATTTTATCAGTGGCGATCGTCAAAGTAAACATGATGGCAAGTATTTGTCCGCAACCATCAGTTGTCTTGCATATTCCAAGACACCACTTGCTCTATCCCGCATTTCCTACCTCCTCGTGACGTGGGCATAGGCCACCAGTGTCTTGGAATAACTCTCTCTACAGCCAATGGGGAGTTTTAGACTTAATCGCTGAAGAGCCATGAGTGATATCCTTCATCAGCACCCCAGACTAATGTTACACCTTCAGGTTATGGCTTTAACCCTCGAGCCTTCACCGAGATGGGTTATGGATGTGCCTGGCAGATGGGCTCATGCCCATCGTTCCCGGCACCCCAGCAAACCTTGTGTCCTGTCAATGATCCCTGTCGCGATGCTTATCAACCGCTTCGTCATTCACTTGCTTGCCACGAGGTTCAAACCGTGGTCCCTGAAAGGGCAAGGGTTTCTAGAAAGACCCGTTGAGATCACCGGTTAATCGTCCCGTGGAAGCTTCCACGAAGCGCTCGTTCAACTCCACCATCTTCATTGTTGCTTTGACCTTTGTTTTATATCTGTATTAACAGGACTGTAAGCTTCTGTGTGAACTGTCTAGTGAACCAACTGGGACACTAGTCCAGATCCTGAATGTTATTAACCTTGGCTTTAATTATCTGGTGCGCGATCCGTCGTAAAGCATAACCATGCCATGACGCTACAGTCTGCACGGTAAAGCTCAAGGATAAATCCCCTAGCATCGTCGGCATCTTGAAAAAGGTCCTGTCAACAAACAGACCCCATCGTCGTTGACAAGGAACGTGGGGTCTAACCAGAACAGCATTAGAATGGCCAACTCTACAGGAACTTATTTTATATGACAGAATTGGGAGTAGGCAAAAACTCAAAGAACCTCAACACCTGGCCTTGATTTCTGATTATTGTTCCCTGTTTATGCTGGTCTATATGAAACCTTCCCGTTGACCTGCTTGTCCTCTACGGTTCCGCAATACGCCACTGATCTTCCATCTCATCCTTGCTACCAAACTCGTTTTATCAAAATGCAGGTGGCTATCTCCATCAAACAAAGGCTCAGCCAACGGGGTTGAACTACTCCAAGATCTTTAATGGAGTCGTTCGTGCAGCCCCTGTTCCTCATGTTGGACCCTCAAGACCCTCCCGGAATATCCCGCCCGTTGCTCATCCACAGATTGCAAATGTCTAGATCTCTCCAAGCATCCCACTCTCCATCAGGCTCTGATAGAACTCAGGCTCAAGGAACGTCTTGACGCTAACGTCCTCGCTTAGACCCTTGCGTCGTCGTGTCTTGAGAACAAAGTCGCGGGCAGTTGCCTGTGCAGAAGCAGGCTGGAGTGGACGAATGATCTGCTCGCGATCGAGAGGATCACCAGGCACGATGCTCCAGCTGTCAAACACAAGACTAACCATCGAACTGCCCTGCGTCTTGATCCGCAGGTCGGTTTCGAAGCCGAAACTGTCAATGACAGGCAGTAGACCGTTGACGCGATACAGCGGCGTACCAGCAACGGGACCATCTGACAAAACGTGTCCGCGACGCCGCGAGAGCACATTGTAGACCTCCATGTAGGAGTCCTCAGGGCCCGTTACAGAGACTGAATAGACAGGCTCCATGAGGCGGGGCGATGCCATAAGGAAGGAGGAATAACACGCTCGTCGAGAGGTGGGGATGATTTGGCCACCTCCACGGAAGATGGCCTCGTTGGCTAGTAGCACATCTGTAACCTTGAACTTTGTGTTTCGTATCGCTGTTGCCTCATGTCAGTATTTGTTTTGAACCGTTCACTGTTGCTCCTGATCTGGATATCTGGATATCTCCTTGCAAGGGCCAAGAGGATAAGCTATCTGCTGTCAGGGGGCAAGGGATCGTCGGATATCCTTTTCAATTTGTTCCTGGCAGAACGGGAGCGGTCAAACGGCTCTGTCCGCAATCCTATTCAGAACAAAATCCCTTACACAGTGGAAACAGGTGGTCCCATCGACATTCTGCAAGAATCCACGTTTGGAGACTGCCAAGTCTTTGCCAGCCGCATATGGGCCAGCGAAAGGCGCTGGAAGGCAGAGGTGGAGAGTTCGTGGAAACTCCACAAGGAACTACCTTGTCTCTGTTGCTGTCGAGGTCCACTGCCAATGGTAACTGCTGATAATGAAACATATACAAAGCCCACTCTTCACTTGAAGGATGTGCCCCATACTGTTGATACAACGTTTCCTCGAAACGAGCCACTGGGCAATAGATTGTGGCCCAAGACAGAAAATGAAAGAGTATGCTTACGTTCTTCGCACAGGGGTCCCTCGCGGGTAGCCCAGCTGAATCCTTGTCGAATAGACTCTTTGACAGCATTGAGTGTTTTCTTGTCCACCTGAACTTTATATTAGCCATGCTCATACGATAGGGCACCGCCGCGATCAACATAAGCGACATAACAGGGTTAAAACTTACTTCAGTGGGAAGAGTATCGTCTTGAAGGATGTTGGGCCCTGTCTCCTCAGGGCCAAAAGCCCAAATACTGCGAGCAGCCAGCTTATCCCAGCCATGCTTCTCTTCGAAAAACTTGGCAGTTTTGCGAATGGGATCGCGGATACGTACGGCGCCGCTCTCAATGTCACTTGAGATTCCCTTCTCCAGCTGCTCAGCAACCATGGTGATCTTGTTCTTCTTGTTGGGGGTGATAGCATAGCATTTTGTCGCTGATGTCTCGACAACAGTCTCACAAAACCGCGTAACCGGGTCAGAAACCTTGATGTCCATGTCAGCATACAGACGACGAAGGTCGTGCAGCACACAATCCATGTACAACTCTCCAGTTCCGAGGACAACATGCTCCCCTGATTCTTCGACCTTAGTCTTGATGAGGGGGTACGATTTTTGAATCCTCCTTAGTCCGTCAAGCATCTTGGGGAGTTCGGAGGGATTGATAGGCTCGGCGGCAACCTTAAGGACAGACTCTGTGAAATGTGTGATAGGCCGGAAGATATAGGCGTCTTCGTCATCTTCTAGTTTGGGAGGGATGATGGTAGCGGACTTGACAATGGAGTTGTCGATGCCGCTAAGTAACACAAGGTTACCGGCTGGCACGCCGTCGGTAGGGATGTTGTATCTTGTCTCGCCGATGAACACTTCTGAGATAGTGGCCATAGCCATATCTTCCTCATCGTCCAGGGAGTAGCCTTCACCAAGAACGCGTACTTGCATACCTGGTCGAACTGTGCCGCTCAGTACACGTCCGAATGAGTGAAAGCTCTTTGCATCGGCTGTGTTGAAGAGCTTGGTGATATGAACGACTAATGGACCGTCCTGGTCACAAGCTTTCATGGAGGCAGCGACCTTCGAGTCCAATGGGCCGGTATAATATCGCTCAAGCAATCGTTCAGCGGTCTCGATGGGAGTTGGTATGTGCTTAACGATCATATCCACAAAGCCTGCTGATGGACCGAAGAACTGCTCGCATACTAGCTTCAGAAGCACCTTCGCGTCAGCCTTATATTGTGAAGGTTTGAGCTCAATGCCCAATGAGGCCAACACTGGCCGCAGTTCTTCTGGACTGTCGCTGATCGAGTGTGTGAAGAGTTTGTAGATGGGCTCGAGGATGAAGTGAACGAACGATCGTGCTGAGCGCTCGTCGAGGGGTTTTCGTGAGAAGTTTCGCTTCTTGGGGTTATAGTAGATGTCGCCCCATAACCGTTTCGCAAACTCGTCCACGTTGATATCTCCAAAGGTCTCTGTGTACATCTTGGCGAAGCTCGGTAACGTGAAACACCATCCCATATCTGTGCAGGCAAATAGAACATTGTCCTTCTCAGGACTTATCCTCTTGGAAGCGGCCTTGGTAGGAGCTGTGTTTGTGATAATAGTGTTCACCTCCTCGACAACGTGCTTGAGCTTGAAGTATGCGTCCTTGGGTGGCAGCTTCAGCTCGAGGATGAGGCGGTCCATCTTGTTGATGATAAGCGTCAAGGGAATGTCTTCGAGAACGGCGTGCTTGATGATCTGCTCCGTGTTGATCTGAACTCCCTCGACCACATCCACCACCAGACAGACACCGTCAACCAAACGGAACGAGGCAGCCACCTCATCGACAAAGTTAACATGACCAGGAGTATCGATCAGGTTGACCAGGTGCGACTTGCCCTTGGTACTGGGTAGTACCAAACTCATTGGCGCTGCCTTGATGGACAAACCCCTTTCCCTCTCCAAGATATGTACGTCCGTATATCTCAATTGCTCATCCCGGTTCTTGCCCACTCTTCGTTCAAGTCGATCTGTGATGTCGTGTGTCTCGAGTACCAACATGTCCATGAACGCAGTCTTTCCATGGTGCAAATGTCCGGCTAATGCTACGTTTCGCGTTTGTTCTGGGAAGTTCATCAAGTCTGTCATGAACTCGCGGTCGAAGAACACGGGTGGAAGGTCGGCTTCCTCAATATTGAACTTCTTCTGCTCGATGGGGGCGATGATGGGCTGGGATAGAGGCTGGGCATCCTCTTCTTCGACACGGGTCTCGACATCGGCGCCGTATACCTGCTCGGCAGTTGGATAGTACTGTTTATCTTCGTGGAGAATAATCGCATTTGATGGGCCATCTGCCAACCCATGAATTAGTATATGTTCGTAGCCTGGGTCCCGGGCTCGTACCGTCAATTTCCATGAGCTCCTGGCCTGTTACACCAGGAGCCTCATCTGGCTCGTCATCGTAGGTATAGTCATCCGCACCAACGCCGACCTCTGAGCCCTCCTCGGACTCGGCCTCCTCGCCAATGAAGTTACCGAACCTGTCGCGATAAGTCAGCGCGCCATCAACTTGTCAAGCTCGAAACGCGACGAAAGAACAAGATACGTACTCGTCGTAAAGATCATCCATCGTCACTGTGTATAGAATAGATGCGCAAATGCGTGTTTCTGTATGCGCAAACAATTGGCGACGTGAGAATTCGGTTTCTCTAATCGTCAATCTTGTCACTAAAGCTCCCTGTCTGGACCTGACTTCGCGCGCGCAGCTCTATTCTGTCGCCAACTTTTTTGATGTCACGTGCAATCGATCATTTATGAAGAGCAAAGACGGGAAGACTGAGGCAGGTACGAGTGGGGCCGGAAATTGACAGGGGTTCCTGCCGACAGCGGCGCGGCGGCGTATTCGCAAGAGCCGTGCCCCTCCAAAGCCTCCATTTCCCGCTGTACGGATCCCGAATTCGAGGGCATTGGCACCTCAACCACGGGTAAGAGGGGCCTCTCTATTGCTCACTTCCTGCCTTACCCAAGATTAGCCTTAAGCTAGATCCATTGGAAGGAAAGTGCTGTTCGCTTGTAGCTGTAAGATTCGCTACTCCCTCAACAAAATTGCCGCCGGTTTCCGCTCCACTTTCCATCCCCTTGCTGATTTATCAATCTATAAACTGAGCTCTCCGCTGACGATCTCCTGATTTTTGTAATCTTCATAACACATTAAATCTTCCAAAATGGCCAACCTTCCTCCTGTCTACATCGTCTCTACTGCTCGTACACCCATCGGCTCTTTCCTCGGGTCAGTATGAGCATTTGCTAGATCTATGTCTTGCAGTGGCTAATGTTAATATAGCTCTTTGTCGAGCCAGACCGCCGTTCAACTGGGAGCTGTCGCCATCAAGGGTAAGATTGAATCGCGCAACGGCGAATAACAAAAACATTCAGTGTACTAAACACTGTTCACAGGAGCTGTCGAGCGTGCCGGTATCAAGCCTGAGGATGTCGACGAGGTCTTTTTTGGCAATGTCCTCTCCGCTGGGTAGGTCTTTTGTTTTCTCTACCCCGCCATCATGATCTCGAAAATTGAGATAACTGCGACCTCGTTGCTGACATGATTTGCCTCCAGCGTTGGACAGGGCCCTGCCCGCCAATGTGCCCTCGGTGCAGGCCTTCCCCAGACTGTCATCGCCACGACCGTGAACAAGGTCTGCGCTTCTTCGCTCAAGGCCATCATTCTTGGTGCTCAAAACATTATGCTCGGCACCTCCGACATTGTCGTTGCTGGTGGAACCGAGTCCATGTCCAACACTCCTCACTACCTCCCCAACCTCCGAAACGGCGCCAAGTACGGCGATCAGACTCTCGTCGATGGTGTTCTCAAGGACGGTTTGACCGACTCTTTCAAGAAGGACCACATGGGTATCTCTGCTGAGCTTTGTGTTCAGGACCATGAGCTCACCCGTGAGGCCCAGGACGAGTACGCCATCAACTCATACAAGAAGGCTCAGGCTGCCACTGAGGCCGGTCTTTTCACCGAGATCGTCCCCGTTGAGGTCCCCGGTGGTCGTGGCAAGCCCGCTATCAAGGTTGAGCGTGACGATGAGGTCAAGAACCTGAATGTCGACAAGCTCAAGGCCATGCGCCCAGCTTTCAAGCCTGACGGTACTGTCACTGCTCCTAACGCTGCTCCCATCAACGATGGTGCTGCCGCCGTTGTCCTCGTCTCCGAGGCTAAGCTCAAGGAGCTCAACCTCAAGCCTGTTGCCAAGATCCTTGGTTGGGGTGATGCTGAGCGTGAGCCTGAGCGTTTCACCATCGCTCCCGCTCTGGCCATTCCCAAGGCCATCAAGCACGCTGGTTTGACCGCCGACCAGGTCGAGTACTACGAGATCAACGAGGCCTTCTCCGCCGTTGCTCTCGCTAACATGAAGATCCTTGGTCTTAACCCTGACCAGGTTAATGTCTACGGTGGTTCCGTTGCCATCGGCCACCCTCTTGGATGCTCTGGTGCCCGTATTGTCACCACCCTTACCTCCGTCCTCAAGGAGAAGAAGGCCAAGATTGGTGCCGTTGGTATCTGCAACGGTGGTGGTGGTGCTTCTGCTATGGTTATCGAGAACCTGCAATAAAAGGGGCGACTGGGATAATTGACGATTTAGATGACACATTAAACAGGCATGTGGTGCGATGGAACGAAAAGTTTTGTCTTGCTGTATCTGACACATGATGATATGGCCTACGATATCTGACTACTCCACGGTATACCCTTACATAGCCATTTAGGAAGAGATATAAATACCATTTTTAATTCACAGGAGACCAACTCAAGGCATGACTTTTGATATGATGACATTAACTGTATAACTTCGATACTGCTATCAATCATGACGTGCTTGGTTATAGTTTGTAGAGTACAGGCCAAAGGAGCTCTAAAACTCCTCAAACATCATATCAACCTTCGCTATAAGAGGAAAACTGACGTGCGGGCAAGCCTTCTGGTTGCGAATTTCCTGTCGCCTTTTGAATCTCAAAGACTAAAAACACAAACGATAGAGGAAAGGATAAAAAAAAAAAAAAAACAACCAAACCGCTGATGAGTTTCATACAAGCACACCCTCCCCGTTTATTTCCTCTAAAAGTTGGCCGCCTCCCCTACTTGCTCGACTCGTCGCTCCCGGATTGTGCCCTGGTAATGCGAGGACTATATCTCGTCCTCTTGTTTGGTGGAGCAGAAACGAGTAATTCCGCAGGTCTCTTTCGTGACGCTTTCCCGATTGGCTTTGAGACGGTCGCTGCAGGCTTTGTTGGAGCAGCTTCTCGGCCGCGCTTTCGTCCCTGCTCCTGCTGCTGGCGAGAGTTAGAGGACTAATCCATCTCCACGTCTTCAGCAGCGCTGGGCGGAACGACACCGTCGTCCATCCATTTGCGGAAGTTCTTATTTTGCTCTTGAACCTCTTCTGGACTAAGGTCCTTCGTCCATGCAGGATTGTGCACCCACTTCTCGAGAAGCTTGTTCTCTCGATGTGCGCTAAGGGCACGGATGAACTTGTCGCGACGTTCACGCTGTTCTGCCGACTTGGGGCCTTGGTCATATACGACGTATTCAGAAGTTCCCGGAGCCCAGATCATCTTTGAACTCTTAAGACAAATACTGATGGTCAGGTTCTCCTTATACGAGACAGCCTTAGGAATGGAATCCTCGTCTGAATCGGCGTCGGGTGAGGGAAGGTTGCGAGAGAGCACGACCTTCTGGAGCTTCGATCTAGGTACTCCCTCGGTGGGCTCAACGCGAATGAAAGATGAGATATAATACTGCCAGCGCTCACGGAGTTGCATCTCATCCATGTAGAAGGTTGTTTCTTCGCGTTGAAGCCATCGCACGGTCGCCTCAGACTTGGAGGGGAACTGTGATCTTGTTAGAGGTCTGACAATTAGAAAATGTCATGGTGACTTGAACTTACCCAGCATATCACGAAAATATCACCATCCTTAACACATTTTTCAGCGAACTTTCGGGCGCTAATCTCTGTCTGGTAACTTGTTTCCTCTCGCTCACGGTTGGCCTGGTACTGGGCAATGAGGTCAGGAGTCTTCTCCTTTACGTCTGTGCTACTGCAGGTAAGGGCCAGACGGCAGAGGGTCTTGAGCAGGTCCTGGATTGTGTACACCTTCCATCCAGTCTTGAGGTAATAGTGTCGCATCACATCCTGGTATCGACTCTCGTCAACGTCACCAGTAATATACTCCTCAATGAGCTCAAGGGTCTTCGGCCAGTAACTGTCTGGGTCATCGTTGGTGTCGAAGAACTTCATGTGGTTCTCAGTAAAACCGATATCCCGAGCAGGCTTCTGTTTATTGAGGCGCTCGACCTCCTTAGCCACAACCTCCTTTGCTTCTTTGAGATCTTGAAGACGTCGATATAGAGTTTGGAAGATGCTGAAGAAGACGAACAGGGTCTGGTTGCAGAAGAAGTTGTACCATGGGCGTGTGAAGAATCCATCGGCCTTCAACTCGCCTTCAGTGTTCAGGATCTCTTCGCTCTGACCAACAACAACGGGTTTGGGGATATTGGGTATCCAGCGCTCGTTGGAAACGTCAGTGTTGGCAATGTCATCGGAAGCATCGGGCATCTCCTCTTCATTCGCCGAAGTAACATCAGGCGTTGTCTCTTTGCTTCCAGAGGCGCTGTCTTCCTTATGTCCGCGGGGTTTGCTACCGTTACGGCCAGGATCAAGAACTCCTCTAAGTAGATCTCCTTTTCGACCGTTACGTCGGCTGCGGCCGTTGGTCAGCTCTGCAGGCGTGTGATCCTCCACTTCGTCCTCGCCAGAATCGGGCTGCATCTTGGGAAGCTTATCCTGAATGTTCTCCTCGGGAATATCGAAGAAGGCAGGGATGAAAGACTCGAAGAACTCCAGAATGCGTTCCTTTTCTTGGCTGCTGTGCTGGCCATTATGTAAACTGTACAGCATCATGAGGCGGAGAAGATCAATGATTGTATCCTTGTCGCTAAAGTCCCAGCTGAACTGATGTCGAGGGACGTCACCCTTTAGCGATCGCTCGCGACGCTGTTCCTCATGCTTTGTCTTGATGACATCGACCAAGTGCTTTGCAGTCAAGTGCCTCTTGTCGTTTTGCTTGACAAGAATGCCCATGTGGTCCAGACTCTTGAGATGCATGTTCTCAGTCTGGGCGTGCCACACCTTCTCCCATTCTCGCTGAGAGAACCGCCACTCCTCATCCTTCTGCTTCATGCGAGCCAATAGGACAGGCACGACGTCGAAAGGATGGGTGAACATGTCATTAACAACATCGATACCTCGATCACCATAAATCTTCTTGCAGATGCGCTTGAAAATAGACGTGCTTTGCCCAGCGAGCGCAACAGGCATCTGGAATGTTTCTCTTTCAGCAGCAGACATGGCGAGCATGTTTTGAGCAATAGGCTCCAGAAGTTGGATGCACTTAATGTTAGCTTCAATGTTGAAGTCATAGTCGTGGCGCTCTTCCTCGATACGGTGCAGGCCTTCCTCAAACTGGTTCTTTCTATGAGCAACGAATCCGCTATCCTCCGACGCCCACGTAGGGTGTGAAGCCCACTCATCATTGAGAACAGAGTTGCAGAGCTCGTCTCGGCCGCTGCAGGGTTTGAGGCGCTCTCGCTTGGGAAGTAATCGATAACTAGGTCCATACCCACGACAGTTGCTGAGAGACACCTTCTCTGTCGGGGGCGCAGGACGATTGTCGATGATGACATCTTGAGTATCGACGCCAACAAAGGTCTTCCAGAAGTTCATCAAGTCGGGGTTTGCGCCGATGAACAACGCACCCTTGTGAAATAATGTGTTTCGGTCGATGATGTTCTGACTGAAGAGGTTGCAAAGTTTCAAGAACTCATTCATGGAAGATCGATTACTAAGGAACTTCTTAACGCGTTCGAAGAAGGCAATCTCCTCCTGACTAGATGTCGAGGAGGGTTTAGCAGGGTAGGGCTCTGGCATAACCGGTGTAAGAGTTGGCTCGACTGCTGAGTTGTCACCTCCTGGTCTGGCATGGTTGAGTTTAGGTCTCTTGTGACCATTCGCAATAGGAGGAAGAGTCCGCGTAATTAAGGTCGCGTCTGCAAGAACGGTTGCAGGCTGAGTAGCTTGCTTGTCGGCTCGGGGTCGCTTCTTGTTGTCTTTAGTGGCGCTAGCGGGCGGCGCAAAGCTACCAAGAGGAGGCATCTTTTGTCCATCTCTCATAGCAGGCTGTGGTGTCTGATTGGGACCAGATGGGGGTCCATCGTCCATACGGTTGGGGGTCTGCTTTGCCTGTCCAGCTGATTCTGGCAGAAATTGTTTAAAATCTTCGAGTAGGTCAGGAGCCGAGTTGAACAGGGTGGTAACCTGCGCATATACGTCCTGGATAGGCTTTTGTTCGCGCTGGTAGGTTTGAAGAATTTCAAGGAATTGTTTGTAAATTTCAGGCTTGTCCTGGAACCGGTTCTTTGCCATGATTAGTACATCTGACGCTTTAAGAAGCTGGAACATGAGCGATGGTTTTTACCTTGATCTTATTCACATAGCTGATAGCATGGTTGAATTCAACTGGCCCCCGTCGTTCCATGTTTGCCTGATTTGCTGCATTGCCGTTTACTCCAGCTTGTCCAGAAGGAGTGGGCGTCAAGGCCTGGCGCGCATTTGGCCCCTCCCCAGGACCTGTGCTGCCCTGGGGCAGAGCACGTCGCTGCCCCGAGTTGTTGCTCTCGTTGAAAGCAGCATTGTGGGCTGCAGCTTGAACAAAGAGGCTTGCGCCATTCTGAACAGGCGTACTAAACTGTGCCTCCGGACTCTCGATGCTATGCTGCGGTCTCTGTTGCTGCCACTGGCTACCTCGTTCGGGGAACAAGGGCTGATTAGCTGTGGCAGGACCGTGACCATCGCCCTGGTTTCCGCGTCCTGTGATAGATTGAACCGTGGTGCCCATAGGTGTGGTGACTCGTATTGTATTCGGATCGTTGCCAGCGCCGCACTCGATACGGTAACCGGGAGGTAAGAAAGTGTTGAACCCTTGAATCAGGTTTGGATGCCCGGCGAAGAGCTCAGATACTCGGTTGATAACCCCTGGTGTGTCAATACTGTCCTTGCGTTAGCTGTGGTCGCGACAATAGTGGCGGCTCAATCAGTAACATACGCCTGGCTTTTGAAATCTTTCATGATATCTAAGAATCGGTTATAGACGTCTGGTTGGTCGTGGAACTGGACTTTGACCTGGTCAAGGTAGGTGAGGGCATCCTGGAAAGAAAAGCAGTCAGCAATCGTGTACCAAGCAATAGCAGTAGGAAACATGTGTAGTACAATGAGAGTAAAGTAAAATAAAGGTACGCCGGATTCTTGTCCATGCAGAAGCGCCATGCCTTCTCCTTCATGGTTGAAGATACCAACAAGATCGCCTGGGTTCGCCGGAAGGCTTGCCAGGAGAGCATGAGGCTCCATGTTGGAGAATATCTGCGAGAACAAGAAAACGGGCACTAGGCAAACAAAATGTGATGAGTTGTAAATGTTTCACACGAGAGCCGTCAGGGAATTTGGAGAAATAAGAAGAGGGGTAGATGAAGTTGGGTTGGATAGAAAGGTAAGGCAAAAGGTTTGTGGGTGGTTCAACAGCGGCCCGCGCTGTCGCATCACCAGCTCGCAAACGCAAACTTAGCGGGTGGCTGCGACGTGCGCAAGGTTGTTGGTACCCCTCCAATGACAACATCCCGTCGCAAAGGTAACTGTATTGCAATGGAACTTACATTCAGAATAGGTTGCTGCCCCTGGGTAATTCCCCCAGGAAGCTGATGAGCTGCCGATGCAGCAGCTGGGTTGAACGGCGCGCTCTGCTGGCCCCCACGCTGGCCTTCCGGAGGCTGTTGCTGCAAAGGACCGCCAAACACAGCCGCAACACTGTTGGCAGCAGCTTGTGTAGATGTCGGCGGTCCACCGTGCGGCATCGGCGCGAACATTTGTGGTTGTGTATTGCTATTATTTGGTCCACCGTGTTGGACCGGTCGGTTGTGCTCGCTCTGGAGTGGCCCTCCGAAGGCGGCCAGGGGAGGACCTGGTGGGTTACCGAGGGGAATTTGAGGATTTCCGTTGTGATTCGCAAGAAGTCCACCGGGACTATGAATTGCGCCAGAGATTCGCGACGCGACCGGCTGGTGAATGGGAATGGAGCCGGCGCTGCTGTGGTGAGGTGTAGATTGGTACCGGTCGTTGGACTCTCGATCTCGATCGCGCTCTCTTTCGCGCTGTTCACGTTCTCTCTCTTGATCCCGACGGGCCATCTCCTCACGTTGCTGTAAAGCTCGGTGTCGTTCTTCCATCTCGCGGTCTCGATCGTATACTACAGGGCCAAGGTTCTGGCTGTTCATTCTGTTCTAAACAAGTCCTCGTTAGTAGGTTGTTTCATTTAGAACGATAGTGTCCCGATATGTCAGAATCATGATCATGGACGCTTCACGATCAGGCATGCTCCTAGGCTGGGAACCTAATGGTTGTCATGCGCGTTGGTGGACTGCGCCTCCAAAAGATCAGGAGAACGGGTGAATGGCAGAAGCAATTCGCGACATCATCGACGAGGAAAAGACTTACACCAGGTGAAGAAATGCCGGCGCCAGTAGAACTCTACATGGAGACGAGTTCGCGCAAGACGTATAGTGAAAACGATGAGAACCCAAAGGCTGAAATGTGTGTTGGCGGGGGGTGATTCGTCGTGGATGCAAAACCCAGCAGCATACAAAGTTGCGAGCTCGCGGCTAGGGTGACGCCGATTCTCTACTGGAAGAATCACGTGGTGATAGGCATTGTGGGGTTCTTAGCGAGCTCTGATTCGTGCGCTCGGCCCTATCTTATCTCTGTTAAATGAGCGATGGCTCAGCCTTGTTGTCTGATGATGAAACTTTTGTGTAGCATGACCACGAGCCCCACCAATCATTATTTCTTATTGTTCTTCTCTTTGCACTTCTGGCTTCAATTTTAAGTGGTTGTAATGGATGCCATTTAGAAAGTCAATGCTAGTATTGTGCACTGGTTTGTTTTTTTTCTTATGGCGACGAGGCTGAAACTCCCATGTGGAGACACGAGCAACTGTTGTAAATACAGGTTGGTTCATAGGGCAATCAATTCTCCGATGCCGGATATGGAAAGGTAAATGATGTGGTGGTTCATGAAATTGATTGGCAAGACTCCTTTGCTTAAAGCAAACTGATATGCTCCTGGCGCCACGAAATCCACAGGATCCTTTTGATCCGCCTCTGTATGTTCCCATGCGTGATCTAGCTCGTATCCCAAATCCCGAATCCCGAGAATTAAAAAAAGACATGATAAATGCGAGCCAAGTCTGAAAGCACCCATCCCGTCCATAAGTCCCATGTCTGTCCTGCTATCAAATGAATCCCAAAACAACCAGGGTACGTAGCCCGATTTTTTCTTTTACCTTCACTTGGATGCTGTCGAAAACGAAGCACTAAACACTTTTGAGGATGCTCTCTCCCACGAGGGAGGTATTGAACGTGTCGTTGAGGGTTAAATCAGGTGTTTCGACTGTCGATGGAAAGCCGAAAGCATCTTTGTAAGAATCTGCTTTTGACACAACCATGCCCATCAACTCGCCTGATACAATCAGCGAAAGTCTTTGACAAGTTCAGAAACTTACCAAACCCGACGAGCCATATGTTTCTCACAAGGGAAGGTTGAAGACCATAAGATCCCATTGCAAGTGACAAAAATGGGCAAATAATGTACGGCCAAACTCCTGAAAGCCCGAAACTGCTGAATACAGAGCTTTGCAATCCAGTGGCAGATGCAGCAGTTGCGTCAAGTATATCCAGGACCTGGCCGGTCTTTCGAAAGGCTTTGTCGAGGCGGGATTCATGGTTATCGTACTTGACCAGCAAGTCTTCAGCAAGTTCTTCGAGTTTCCCCATACCCTTCAGCTGGTCAACAGAATACTCAAAGATGGGAGCCGGTACCTACTTGTTCGATTTTGACCTGCTTCTCCAGGATATCTGCATTCCGAGATTCCGTCAATTCCTTAAATGGTCAACCTTGACATTCGAGTGATTCATCAGCAGACTCACCACTTGATTTTGAAGGGAAACAGAAGATGAAATTGCTGCACTCAGCACTGCCATAAGTATATCGACCTCGTTGTTTAACTGCTTCGTGCTTGTTTGGAGAGCAACCTCTTGTGATGAAACGATATCTGCAGTCTTCTCTTGAACTGAGCGAGCAAGAAGCTCTAAAAGATCGTGGAGCACTTTCGTTTCTTTGAGGCCACTTTCCACGACATCGCGCGAGTCCTGTCCATGTCAGTAGTGTGTCCCAGAAAGAAATAATGGCTATGTACCTGAGCAGCGCGACCCAAATCGTCTCGCAGGATTTGACTAGCTCTTTCCATCTCTGTACGTAGATGTCGAACATGAGGCTCAATGTCTTCAACAGACTGGCTTGCGGCAGTATAGGCTCGATTGAGTGAATGGAATCGTTCCTCCATGTCTGCCTCAATATCACGGGTGAGTTTCTCGAGAATTTTAGTGATTTTCTGATAAAGGAGGATGTTCTCATCTTTTATGAACGATCAGTATGGCTTCTCTTTGCTTGGGTGCTCACTAACCTTTCTGGTGATCTGCCCTTGCGGCATCACAGAACCTCAACGCTTTGTGACGATAGCTCACCCATGTATTCCAAGCCGAATCTGACTGAGCAAGGCCTTCGAGACACTCATCAATCTCAACGGTCGAAACATGGATTTGTGGGATAGGTGAAGCAGAAAGGGTAGCTAGGGTTGACTCTCGAAACTTGGAGCAAGATACAGGAATTCTGAAACTGCCGCGCTCCAAGTCGCAAATAGCAAGGCTTGCTGCATACGAGTCCACAAAGTCTCGAGCTGCTCTCCCGCTATCAATATGGACCTTGGCGCCGTCTTGGCCATCCAGGAGGTGACAGTTGTTGACTAGCAGACGTGCAGCAATGCGATGGCAGAGAGGTTCAGACTCCAGGTCTTGAAGCTCTTGAAGTGCGGTAGTGTAAACGTTGGATAGCCTCTTTTCTGATTGTTTGCTGAGCAGGGCGGAGTTATCGCTACTGCGTTTTGGGTGCTGGAGTGTAACCTGATGACCTACTGTGGTGATGTTAGCATCAAAGCGCCAGCGCGGTCACTCGAACATACCATCCGCAGATCGCGGCCTCCATGAGAAGCAGTGCGCCTCTGTCGCGAAGACCGTAAGAAAGGTCACCCCCAAAAGGAAAAAGGACATCGCCTTAGACGACATGTTCATCGCCAGTCAGAAGCATAAGAGACATAGGAGTAGTAGAAAGAAGTGAGTTGGTTGGCTAGGCTCAAAATGTTGTGGCGCGAAAAGGAAAAGACTAAGTTGAAGAGAGAAAGTGCAGAAATGAAATTAAGCGTTAGGTAGAGAGTGGTCGGAATTCCGAAGTGAGGTTGGAAACTCGTTCGGGTGTGCTCCTACTTCAAACGAACCGTTGCTTAACTCTCGAAAAGAGCACCTGCACTTTCCCACAGCAGCGCACTTTTTCGCAAGGCCAAAACGGCAGGTAAGGAAATACCTTGGGTTGGCCTCCTACGCTTTCCGTTAAGAGCCAACAATAAGTCATGTCGAAATCGTTGGCTCCACATGCTGCTTGATTTCGAGATCTGAACAATGGTGTTGAACCATGCAACCGTACTTTGAATGCATTTTCTTGACAGTGAACACAAGCTGATCAAGACATAAAACAATAAGGTATATAAACTGGCATTTCTGTCTTATGACGTATTTTACCTAGGTAGTTAGATTCCATTTGTTAGATGGCGGTTAGGGGTACTGTTCCAGATCATTCACATATCTAGGTATATTGGGTGTATTGGTTGATCGCTCAATACCATGTAATGATGATTTCGCGTTCGTCACGCATATACAAATCTCAAACCTGAACAGATCTCAACTTGGTATTGAGCGCATCTGGGCCGTTGACGCTGGATCCTCTATTCATTGTTAAGCCAAGGGCTCTATACACCACATTTTGTTCCCTGCTATGTTCAACTTGAGTAGCTATATGCCTAACTCAAAGCTCAGTATTGGAATAGAAACAGAGAATGGAGATTTAGCTGCGAGATTTAACGCCCAAGGCTTCTCATCATGCGCCATCGGGCTATGTCCTAGATCTTATTGTGTTACTCAGGCAAAGGCGATATATATCCTTTTTCATGTTGAAACTGAATCACGAAAGGATTCAAACAAGAGGCACACATGCATACATGAGAAAAAGACGGTCCCGTCGATCACATTAGTATACTGCGCCAGGGCACAGGTGATCGGTGAGAAGAATCACCTCATTTTGTCCTCGGAGAAGCATTCGAGTTCAATACACTATATTGACCCCATGATGGTTGAGTCAACCCAGAAGGGGTAAATAGCCTCGAGCCTTTGGCCGATTGGTTGAAGATTCCCACAAAAGATCCGAGAGTTAATTCCGTTGAATCAATAACTCCAACGGTAAGGCCAAGGTCGATCGTATGCTTTTTTTCCCGCGGCGGCCCCCACCGAGCAAGGGAGTCCAGACCTTGAAGTGACGACATTCAGAGCCGCCCTTTGCAGGGCGCCTCTTTGGCGTTCTTCTAAAGGGCAAAAAAAAACACAATGGGGCAGGAATCGAAGCACAATAAATTTTCATACGCTAGGTCACCTATTTAGCCCAATCAGTGAAAAAAAAGGCCCCTAAATTAACCCAACCCGTGCGCCTGGAGGTTGGAATTAACGTCATGCTGCGTGCCAGCCAAGGCACATCGCGATCGCGATCAGTTCTATGAAATGCTTCAATTCGTTTCCAAGCGCTTCCCACAAAGGCCAATCCGAACCGCAAACCCACCAGCAAACCCTTGCGCGTATCCTTGAAAGCTGCATCAGATCTGGATACACGCAGGCTGCATGCGCCTACGGGCAGGGCGCTGCAGTTACTTGTCTTCTTTGTTATTGGTGCTCCTGTTTGACGATCGCTGATTTGTTCGCATTTTCTTATCCCCGGTGACCGTTGGCCGCTTTCAACGTCCCGCTCTCGAGGGAAACTCTAGAACGAGAAGGCTTCAACTTCACGTCGACTCGATATCGCCCTCTCGTTTTCGCCCAGCCGGCCGTGTGTGTGCTGTTATTAGACAGCCCCCGAGTGCCGTGCGAATATTCCTGCGACCGAGCAGTTTAGAACTCTCGGACGTACGGATTTGGAACAGGAAGATTATACGAATACGTTGAATACAGAAGCAAGGTATCAGCCATTTGCGCACTGGAGAGCTTGGGCTCGTTTCTCATATAGAATAATAGCACTTACCAAGTCGCAGGTTATTGTGTAAAACACATGAATGAATCTAGACCCTAGTCAGAACATTATATTACACGGACACACCCAGTGGGACTAGACCAGACAACATGTGTATGCAGGTGGATCGGCAGTTTGCTTGTGGCCATATCGGTTTCCTGAATATTCGCTGGTGTCAGAGAGTATTTAATGGATGCAAAGGACCTTCGCATATTCACGACATCGTTTACGACGAAGAAATATGTCCAGACTGTTTACGAAAGGAAACACTCCCAAAACCATGGACACCAAAATAACGATATATGACTTGATGGAGGAGCGGTCTATAATGGCACAAGAGACACTTAAGTTGCGGCATGATCATGGACAGCATAGAGGATGAGGGTAGATAAGCCATTGGGTTTGTTCGCG